GTTCTGGCACTGAGAGACAAAAACAATATTTTTCCCCCTTCAAAATAACCCAAAAAAGCAATATCATATTTTTATCAGAGGAGAGTGTCTCTCGTAATGATTTGTTTAGGCTTGGCCATCCAAATGAATGAGGCCCACTGCTTGACGACGGGACTTTGGACGTCATGGCGACCTTGGCCCACTCAGCCATACTTCCTGTGGTTCTATGCTAAGTGTTCTAGTGAGGTGACAGATCAGTGAGGTGCAGGAAAAACAAGCAAATAGCTGTTTACCGTTCTGTTTCCTATTGGGCTGCCCTGTCCAGAGCCTCTCTGCTCACCCAGCACACTGATAGATATATTAAAGGCTTGATAAGAGGTTGGCCTATATAAGGGGGTAAAGCGGCTGTGTCTGTTTCAGACTTTAAAGAACAAGACACACCTTAACAAATGTCAGCGGTGCACCGTAAAGGTGTCGAACGGTGGTTATTCTTTCAACATGTAGAATCGTTGGGAATTGTAAACTAACAGAAAATGAAGGCCAATGTTCTGTGGTGTCCTATTATGTACACCGCAGCAGCACACACATTTCCCTGGGTTCTGTTGCAACTTCTGCTGGTTCTGCATTTGCAGTATCTTCGGCACGATATGCACACATAGCAGAAAATACACATCCCCCTCACACACCCATCATACGTATTCCTTTCCTGCAGTCAAATGACCAAATCAACCTCTAGTGGCCTCATGGGTGGAATGTTATTAATATTTTTCATAATTTCATAATTCATCAATATAATATATTTTTTTACGCCTGAAATCCGGTGTTTCTATGTCAAACGGTTTTGTTATATTTCAGTCTTCTGTGATGTATATAAAGTGTAATATTGGGGTGCAAACTCAAAATTGAATACATTTAAACTCTATATCTGACATGGAACAGGTGTCTTCTTTTTTTTAAGCCCATAACCATGTGTGTGAGGTGTATACTTTTGTTTCAAAGTAGATTTGTTAAGACTACCAAGAAACACTCTGTGCGACCCTGATTTAGCCCACGTGCAGGCTTTGCAGTGTAGTACAGATGTTTACAGATTACTGATACTCGACAAGCCGGTGCATACTCTTTTGCAACCACAAAGTAACCCAACCTGACCAAAGACGCTACATGAGCCAGTGCCTTTGAGAGAGGGCACTCTTTTGGAGTACTGTAACAGAGAAAATCCAAACGTGACCATAAACGATACATGAGGCAATGCCTTCTCTGCTCTGGATGTTCTGATGTGAACCTGCACTACATCCACCCTTGGAGTCGTGATCATTTGCCCTCGATAGAGACTTACTTAGTCAATGGGCTCAGATAATGGCAAATGAGTGCTGTAGAGATTAGAGGTAGTATGACGGGACTGGGCGGTGGAGCCCAGCTGTTCTGACGGATTTGTATAACACAGGCATCCTGCACAGGGACGAGGCCACCGCTGCTGCTCAGTCTGGTCTGCTCTGACTGCAGTTCCTGGGTAGCGAGCTGAGCAGAGAGGGGGTCAGCTTGGGGACGAGCTGGAGGATGAGGATGAGGGTTAAAACATGACCCAGACCTCTTGTCTCGCCTCAATGGTTCAATCCTGTTAAAACGTCTTACTGGCATGGCGGACTGAGTAGTCGGTGGTTAGGAAACCCTCTGTAGCGCTTTCCTGCAGTCAAATGATCAAATCGCCCTCTAGTGGCCTCATGGGTGGAATGTTATTAATATCTTTCATTATTTTATCATTAATAAACATTATTTAAAACAATTCCCCAAATCCTGTGTTTCTATGTCAAACGGTTTTGTAATAGTTCAGTCTTCTTTGATGTATATAAAGTGTAATATTGGGATGCAAATTCAAAATAGAATACATTTCAACTCTATATCTGACATGGAACAGGTGTCTTCTTTTTTTTAAGCCAATAACCATGTGTGTGAGGTGTATACTTTTGTTTCAAATTAGATTTGTTTAAGACTACCAAGAAACACTCTGTGCAACCCTGATTTAGCCCACTGCAGTAAAGGTTTTGAAGACTGATGAGAGTGTGGATGAGGGGATTGTGTGTATGCAAGAATTAATCTCGGTTAATGGTGGTTTAGCACCAAGGGATCAGCTGTTTTCACGAGTTCACATCGCTGCTGAGTTATTGCTGCTTAGTCACACTCTGTAAGATGTGTTCACCAATCAAAGTGTGGGCTACTGACGAAAATGATAAAGCTACGGAGCAGCAAAAGCTCTTGATTTCTATGATATACAGTATCTGTGGTGCTCATTCCTTATGTGTATCATGACTCAGGATATGACCCAGATGCAGACACAGGAGGCGAATAGTTCGATTCTCAGAATATTTATTATAACAAAGGGGCAGGCAAACGGCAGGTCAAGGGCAGGCAGAGGTTTGTAATCCAAGGCAGAGTCAATCAGGGACAGAACGGCAGGCAGGCTCAGGGTCAGGACAGGCAGAAAGGTCAGAACCGGGAAGACTAGAAAACAAAAACTTGCGAACAGGAGAAACGGGAAACACGTTGGTAAGACCTGACAAAACAAGACGAACTGGCAACAGACAAACAGAAAACGCTGGTATAAATACACAGGGGATAATGGGGGAAAATAGGAGACACCTGGTGGGGGGTGGAGACAAGCACAAGACAGGTGAAACAGATCAGGATGTGACAATGTGAGTCGAAGACTAGAAAACAAAAACTTGCGAACAGGAGAAACGGGAAACACGTTGGTAAGACCTGACAAAACAAGACGAACTGGCAACAGACAAACAGAAAACGCTGGTATAAATACACAGGGGATAATGGGGGAAAATAGGAGACACCTGGTGGGGGGTGGAGACAAGCACAAGACAGGTGAAACAGATCAGGATGTGACAATGTGAGTCGAAGAATCTAACCATTGTTGATGGTTGTGGCAGGTACAGTGTGTGGATTGCAGACAGATTGATCCATACTACGCAAGTACGAAGTTGGCAGTTTTTTTTGTTCAATGGCTCCAACATATAACTATGTCATGTCATGATGCACCTTATGACCAGCAATCGTCTCATGGGGCTGATTAGATAGATCCTGAGATTTCGGTTGCCTTATTGGCCCAAGATAATAATCTTTCAATTGTATAGTATTGAATCATGATTAGATTTACTTTATCCTTAAGCCTAACATGAGGTTTGGCCCTATGTCTGACATAAAATACATGGGGGCATATCACGTTGAGGGATCAACCATAAACAGTCATCCTTCCTGTTGCATGTCACATTTACATTATTCCCTGCAGGCTCCATCCAATAGGAGACCTCAATACTTAATTCTGATAGGATAGACAAAGGACATCTCACTTCCTTGTTTGTCTTGCTCGGATTGGTCTGATTTGCATGTACAGTATCTCTATTACGGATGGTAGAGTCAGATTAACTGTCTGATTTGAACTCCTACAGATACATTGTCCTGTCCTCTGGGTGGATGGCTGTATTTTGCTGATGTGTCAATAAAGTTTTTTCTGAAATATAAATTACAGTGCCTTTTTATATATTTTGTTGTTGTTGCCTTTAATACGTTTTTTTTTTGGATAGATTTTACTATTAGCAGAGGTCAACCAGAAATTGACCCTTAAAGGCACAAAGGAGCCATAAACAGGCCTATGTGGTTTTGTCTTCATGGGCAACTGCTTGACTGAGGACTGCATATGCATATTTTATGGTGATGTATAATTCGGGGTCACAGTGCCATGTAGTAGTTCAGTATGTCAAGTGGTGGCATGTTGCTTCTGATGTCCTCTGTATGCTGTTGGATTGAACTGGGTTGGATGGCTTGTGGTGTGGTGTATGATAGTATCAGTGACAAGCTGTTTGGACGGTGGTGTACTAGCTGGCACATCAGGTCAGTGGCTGCTGGCAGATTGTTTGGGTCCGGGATGTGTTATGGGCTTGTCAGTTGGGTGTCATATTGTTTGGGCTGGAGCATAGGGTGGACAGAGCAGGACGGACGGCTAATGGCAGCAGGGTGTCAGTGACAGGATCTCGGGCATAATTCATGACTAGAGGAGATTAATCGCTGCAGCTCCAGAGCCTGTGGGTTCAATTTCCTGCTGTCACTCTCTGTGCTGCCTGGCTGGCTGCTGCACACACTCCATGCAAACTGCACTTCACTCGTTTCTTGCTGGTAGTGTAGGCCTACAAGGGCCCCATCCATAATCCGTTCTGAGAAAGAAAAAGTTCTGTCAAATTGGAATGTCTCTATATGCCTTAACCTAATCCTGGACTAAAAAGTACTTTCAATGGAGAATCTCAGGCCTGAGTCATACATACATACCAGGGGTTGGAACCAGTTCAGGGAACAGAACCGAAAACTGAAAAAGAACAACAAAATTGGAGTATCGTAAACAGAACTGGGAACGAAAGTGATCTCTAGTGTTCCAGAATGGAACCATTCTTTTCAAATCTTGAGATCCGGTTAATAACGTTCCTTTTTGGTCCAAAAATATTCCTAATGTCTAGTATATAATTATGTAGTACAGTTGTAATAGTAAGAGCCTAAACCCATTCCAATTCACTTCATGATGCTCAGCGCTTCAAGCCAAGCCCCCTCCATGTCCACCCCGCTCTCTCGCTCTCTCCCCACTCGTGAAATTTCAGTTGCATCTCACGCCTGCACTTATCTGTCCATCAAACATGTAAACAACTAGCTTACCCGTTCCATAGCAAGCTGCTCTATCCACGCTAATTGGTGGAGTAAATGAATGAGCTAAATGTAAAAACGATGTTGATTTCACAGGGTATGAAAAGGAACTATATAAACCGTTACCTTTTTGGGGTTTGAACCGTTTCAGAACTTTATTATGCTCGTCGGAACACTGGAATTGAACAAAATAGATAAGGGTTCCGCTCGAAACAAAATGAATTATTTTGGTTCCAAACCCTGATATATACTTCACAGTAACACATCCTGTAAACTAAACATACCTGTAATACCTCTTGTTCTTCTTCTTCTCCTCCTCCCAGTTCCCGGAGTGTGGATTCTTTGGCATGTACGACAAGATCCTTCTGTTCCGTCATGACCTGACCTCGGAGAACATCTTGCAGAGGCTGACGTCAGTGGAGGACATCCATGAGGGAGACCTGATCGAGGTGGTCCTCTCAGGTGAGACCTGGGAAAGAGTTTTAGATCCTCCTTGTCACAAGCGATGAAGTTGATATCAAGAGAGGAAGTTGATATCAATCAATCAATCAATCAAATCTTATTTATAAAGCCCTGTTTACATCAGCAGATGTCACAAAGGGCTATACAGAAACCCAGCCTAAAACCCCAAACAGCAAGCAATGCAGATGTAGAAGCACGGTGGCTAGGAAAAACTCCCTAGAAAGGCAGAAACCTAAGAAGAAACCTAGAGAGGAACCAGGCTCTGAGGGGTGGCCAGTCCCCTTCTGGCTGTGCCGGGTGGAGATTATAACAGTATATGGCCATTAAGGCCAGATTTTTCTCCAAGATGTTCAAACGCTCATAGATGACCAGCAGGGTCAAATAATAATCACAGTGGTTGTAGAGGTTGCAACAGTTCAGTACATTAGGAGTAAATGTCACTTGGCTTTTCATAGCCAGGCATTTAGAGGTTGAAATAGCAGGTGCGGTAGAGAGAGAGAGTTGAAAACAGCAGGTCTGGGACAAGGTAGCACGTCCGGTGAACAGGTAAGGGTTCCATAGCCGCAGGCAGAAGAGTGGAAACTGGAGCAGCAGCACGACCAGGTGGACTGGGGACAGCAAGGAGTCATCAGGCCAGGTAGTCCTGAGGCATGGTCCTAGGGCTCAGGTCCTCTGGGATGGGATGGAGAGAGGGAGAGAGAGAGAATTAGAGGGAGCATACTTAAATTCACACAGGACACCAGATAAGACAGGAGAATAACACCAGATATAACAGACTGACCCTAGCCCCCCGGCACATAGACTATTGCAGCATAGATACTGGAGGCTGAGACAGGGGGGGTCAGGAGACACTGAGGCCCGTCCGACGATACCCCCAGACAGGGCCAACCAGGCAGGATATAACCCCACCCACTTTGCCAAAGCACAGACCCCACACTACCAGAGGGATATCAACTGACCACCAACCTACTACCCTGAGACAAGGCTGAGTATCACGTCAGTGACTCAACCCACTCAAGTGATGCACCCCTCCTAGGGGCGGCATGGAAAGCACCATTAAGCCAGTGACTCAGCCCCCGTAATAGAGTCAGAGGCAGAGAATCCCAATGGAGAGACAGGAACCGGCCAGGCAGAGACAGCAAGGGCGGTTTGTCGCTCCAGTGCCTTTCCGTTCACCTTCGCACCCCTGGGCCAGTCTACACTCAATCATAGGACCTACTGAAGAGATGAGTCTTCAGTAAAGAAGTCTGCGTCTCTCACATGGATAGGCAGACCATTCCATAAAAATTTAGCTCTATAGGAGAAAGCCCTGCCTCCAGCTGTTTGCTTAGAAATTCTAGGGACAATAAGGAGGCCTGCGTCTTGTGACCGTAGCATACATGTAGGTATGTACGGCAGGACCAAATCCGGGTAGCCGGAGAGTAGAGCATTGCAGTAGTCTAATCTAGAAGTGACAAAAGCATGGATTAGCTTTTCTGCATCATTTTCGGACAAAATGTTTCAGATTTTTGGTGGAAAAAAGCTGTCCTTGAAATATTCTTGATATGTTCGTCAAAAGAGAGATCAGGGTCTAGAGTAACGCCGAGGTCCTTCACAGTTTTTTTTGAGACGACTGTACAACCATCAATATTAATTGTCTGATCCAACAGAAGATCTTTTTGTTTCTTGGGACCTAGAACTAACATCTCTGTTTTGTCCGGGGGGCCAGTATGAAAAATGTATGCACTCACTAACTGTAAGTTGCTCTGCATAAGAGCGTCTGCTAAATGACTAAAATGTAAATGTAAATGTCCGAGTTTAAAAGTAAAAAATGTGCCGCCATCCACTTCCTTATGTCTGAAACACATGCTTCCAGGGTAGGCAATTTTGGGGCTTCACCATGTTTCATCGAAATGTAGAGCTGTGTGTCGTCCGCATAGCAATGAAAGTTAACATTGTGTTTCCGAATGACATCACCAAGAGGTAAAATATATAGTGAAAACAACAGTGGTCCTAAAACGGAACCTTGAGGAACACCGAAACGTACAATTGATTTGTCAGAGGACAAACCATCCATAGAGACGAACTGATATCTTTCCGACAGATAAGATCTAAACCAGGCAAGAGCTTGTCCATGTAGACCAATTAAGGTTTCCAATCTCTCCAAAAGAATGTCGTGATCGATGGTGTCAAAAGCAGCACTAAGGTCTAGGAGCACGTGGACAGATGCAGAGCCTTGGTCTGACGCCATTAAAAGGTAATTTACCACCTTCACAAGTGCGGTCTCAGTGCTATGATGGGGTCTAAAACCAGACTGAAGCGTTTCGTGTACATTTTTTGTCTTCAGGAAGGCAGTGAGTTGCTGCACAACAGCTTTTTCTAAACATTTTTGAGAGGAATGGGAGATTCGATATAGGCTGATAGTTATTTACATTTTCTGGGTCAAGGTTTGGCTTTTTCAAGAGAGGCTTTATTACTACCACTTTTAGTGATTTTGGTACACATCCAGTGGATAGGGAGCATTTATTATTTTCAACATAGGAGGGCCAAGCACAGGAAGTAGCTCTTTCAGTAGTTTAGTTGGAATAGGGTCCAGTATGCAGTTTGAAGGTTTAGAGGCCATGACTATTTTAATGAATGTGTCAAGAGATATAGGATTAAAAAACTTGAGTGTCTCCATTGATCCTTGGTCCTGGCAGTTTTGTGCAGACTCAGGACAGCTGAGCTTTGGAGAAATACGCAGATTCAAAGAGGAGTCCGTAATTTGCTTTCTAATCATCATGATCTTTTCGTCGAAGAAGTTCCTGAATTCATCACTGCTGAAGTGAAAGGCATCCTCTCTTGGGGAATGCTGCTTTTTAGTTACCTTTGCGACAGTATCAAATATAAATTTTGGATTGTTCTTATTCTCCTCAATTAGGTTGGAAAAACAGGATGATCGAGCAGCAGGGAACACAGTGAGGAACTCTGTATACGGCCCAGGAGGCCTGTAAACAGTAGCTATAAAAAGTGATTGAGTAGGCTGTATAGATTTCATGACTATAAGCTCAAAAGACGACAACGCAGTCATTTTGGGGGGGGGGGGGGGGGGGGTATAATTCACATTTTATAATTGACATTTGCTATTGTAAATGTTAGTAACACCTCCACCTTTGCGGGATGCGCGGGGGATATGGTCACTAGTGTAACCAGGAGGAGAGGCCTCATTTAACACAGTAAAGGCTTAAGCCATGTTTCAGTCAGGCCAATCACATCAAGATTATGATCAGTGATTAGTTTATTGACTATGACTGCCTTGAAAGTGAGGGATCTAACATTAAATAGCCCTATTTTGAGATGTGAGATATCACAATCTCTTTCAATAATGACAGGAATGGAGTAGGTCTTTATTCCAGTGAGATTGCTAAGGCAAACACCAACATGTTTAGTTTTGCTCAACCTAGATCGAGGCACAGACACGGTCTCAATGGGGATAGCTGAGCTGACTACACTGACTGTGCTAGTGGCAGACTCCACTAAGCTGGCAGGCTGGCTAACAGCCTGCTGCCTGGTCTGCACCCTATCTCATTGTGGAGCTAGAGGAGTTAGAGCCCTGTCTATGTTGATAGATAAGATGAGAGCAGCCCTCCAGCTAGGATGGAGTCCGTCACTCCTCAGCAGGCCAGGCTTGGTCCTGTTTGTGGGTGAGTCCCAGAAAGAGGGACAATTATCTACAAATTCTATATTTTGGGAGGGGCAGAAAACAGTTTTCAACCAGCGATTGAGTTGTGAGACTCTGCTGTAGAGCTCATCACTCCCACTAACTCATCACTCTGCTGTAGAGCTCATCACTCGATGCCGAAACATCTTTCTAGCTAATTTACACGCTGAAGCTATGTTTCTCTTGGTGACCTCTGACTGTTTCATCCTAACATCGTTGGTGCCGACGTGGATAACAATATCCATATACTCTCTACACTCGCCAGTTTTTGCCTTAGCCAGCACCATCTTCAGATTAGGCTTTACGTCGGTAGCCCTGCCCCCTGGTAAACAGTGTATGATCGCTGAATGATTATTTTTAATTCTAATATTGCGGGTAATGGAGTCGCCAATGACTAGGGTTTTCAATTTGTCCGAGCTAATGGTGGGAGGCTTCGGTGGCTCAGACCCCGTAATGGGTGGAGGAGAGACCTGAGAAGGCTCGGCCTCTGACTCCGATTCGTTGTTTAATGGGGAGAACAAGTTGAAAGTTTCTGTCGGCTGAATGAGCGACACCGGTTGAGCATGCCAACAGCATTTCTTTCCAGAAGCCTTGAGAAAATTGTCCGGCTGCGGGGACTGTGCGAGGGGATTTATACTACTATCTGTACTTACTGGTGGCACAGACGCTGTTTCATCCTTTCCTACACTTAAATTGCCCTTGCCTAACGATTGCGTCTGAAGCTGTGCTTGCAGCACGGCTATCCTCACCATAAGGCGATAGTTCTCCTGTATATTATGAGTACAGCGACTGCAATTAGATGGCATAGTGTTAATGTTACTACTGAGCTTCGGCTGGTGGAGGTCCTGTAGAACCATGTCCAGATAAAGCGTCCGGGGTGAAAAAGTTGAACCCTGTAACCCATTCACATCCATTTTCTCTCCTTGTGTATCCCTAGATCTCTCCTGTGTTGCTACTATGTATGCCCTATGTCACATCATGTATCCCCCAATGTATTCTCAGCCCCGACCTAAGATGCACCCGCAACATTTTTGGTGGACATAGTCATTTCCTCTGACAGTGTCTTGTGGTCTGTTGTTGACAGTCCTAAGTGTGAAACTCAACCATCACCTGAACAGCGGCACACCCCAGAGTAGTATTCATGTTGAATTTCAACACATGAGACGAAACGTGTGAATTCGCAGCCAACCACACAAGACTCAACCCCATACCACTTCCTCATCCTCTGCCTGTTTTTGGTGCAGCAGGGCCCCACAGTCAGTCAAAGTGCAGTAGTGTTGATGACATTGATGCTAAGCTGCTTGAGTCTTACTGCTCTTTCAGTCGCTTCATAGACATCGCCTGCTACTCTGTGCCCCGAATAGAAGACAAAACATGTTTTCAGCTCTCTGGTTTTGCACAGCCAGACAGGCCTGCTGAGTTCCTCTCTGGCAGCTCATTTCAGCTCGGTTCAGATCACTCTCAACTTCCTTTGACACCTCTCCTTTTGTTTCGTGGCTTGTTGGGCTCTGGTCCCAAACTCCACACAGCTCTGCTCTGCTAGGTCTGAGCAGGTTCTCTCTCAGAGGGAGGCCGTGGCAGATTTCTCTTGGCTCCCAGCTCAAAGTCATGCGCTTGTTATTTCTGCACTTGCTGTTTCTCCGTGATTGATGAGGACGTCGTTTGTGAGCTGGTGAATGCTGCTCATGCCCTTTACACACCTGTCCCCACCTAGTCATTGTTAGATTAAGGTCATGTTTAGTCTCATTCATATATTTTAGGTACCTGTGTGACATCTACAAAACCTTGTTCAATAGCAGAGCTGTGTGTTTCTCTCTGGGTGCAGAATGCTCTCCTCTAAAGTAATAATTGCCCTTTCGGAACGCTGTCTGGATTGTTGTGTACCCACTGGGAATGTGTTTGCTATGGCGCTGTTTTTCATTACAACCACTTGGTTCGAAGGTGGCCTTCGTGTTCGCCTATTGATAAAAAGAGAGAGAGGGGCTTATGAGAAGTAATTTCATTTTCTTGGAAAGTGGACATGAAATGAATGGTCGGACCGAGCAAAGAGCAAAGGTGGCAAGACTTCAAGCACATTTTTGCCCTCAGAGAAATGGCCATCAGGGAAAGAACAGGCACATCACTCAGAAGTGCTTAATGTAACTACATTAATGCCCCCAATTAACTATGTCCAAGTCCCAAATGGCACCCTATAGTCAACTATGGTCAAAAGTGGTTCAGTGTATAGTTAATAGGGGATACAGCCTATGTCACATTAATCAAGTTGGGGGACACAATGACATTCATGTGTCTGACCTAGCATTTACAGTAATGTCAAACACAAAGACAACCAGGTACATTGTTCAAGTCAAAACGTTGGCCGTAGTAGATTACTTGCTAGGTACCAACGAACGGTGGGGATTCAATATGTAGCTAGAATCGTTAGGAAAGCAACAGATAATGACAAGAGATGTTCTGTGGTCAGAGGCAATAGGATGGACACCCTCTGCTTTTAACTGTTCGTTACCACGGCCTGTTTTGTCCTTGACATCCATCTGAAAGGCATTAAAAGCACTCTGAATCAGAATGACAGTAGAAAAACTTGAAAGACAAATTAAGCATTTCTCAGAAAAAGTATGACGTGAGCAGTGCTTTTAAGTGGGTTTGATGGAAGTCTTGTAGGATTGGTGTGATTTGTACTGTCTTTCTGCTAAATCATTGCCCCATAATGGTGCTAATGGTTTGATCGTGACTCATCTCATATCTAAATGTACTTCCTCTGTTATTCATATAAATGCATGTCTCACTTCTTTGTTAATGTGTTTTTCCTGCAGTACGGTAATCCAGTGTGTATGTGTGTGTGTGTGTGTCTCAGCTCTGGCCACTGTTGAGGACTTCCAGATCCGTCCCCATGCCTTGTATGTGCACTCCTACAAGGCCCCGGCCTTCTGTGATGATTGTGGGGAGATGCTGTGGGGCCTGGTCCGACAGGGCCTCAAATGTGAAGGTAAGTCTGGACCCTGCCCCATTGCCGCCCTAGCCCAGCTGCTTTGATCCCTGTCACTTCACTCTTGACCTGGGCTTCACCTCAAATCAAGGCCCTGGCTCACATAGGCCCGAATCAAAGCCTGGGGAACTGTACAGCAGGATGTGGCTTCCTGTTTTTTCAGAGAGGACAGCTTTGAAGTCCTGATCAGAAGAGCGTTTGAGTGGATCTCATTGTAGTGATGCCAAGGAGTGGATGGGCTCTTATAATGCTTTGTGGAGCAGATGATTGTCAGATGAGAGAGTTTATGTAACCTGATGGAAGAGTAAAACAACACTGAACGTTCACCTGGATGCTCAATACAGGACTGCTCTGTACATGACCTAACTCTGTGTCCAGAGAGAGAAAGAGAAAGAGAGAGATAGAGAGAGTGAGAGCCAGAGTGAGAGTCAGAGTGAGAGTGTGAGCGTGAGAGTAAGACAGGCTGGCTGGCAGAAAGGTAGACAGACATGTAGGTATGGTTACTAAGTACTGTGCCACCTCCTCCATAGGATGTGGGCTGAACTACCACAAGCGCTGTGCCTTTAAGATCCCTAACAACTGCAGCGGGGTGAGGAAGAGACGGCTGTCCAACGTGTCCCTGCCTGGAGCCGTGCTGTCAGTCCCCCGCCCAGCTCCCATTGAACATGTCCCTACACCCCAGGAAGAGGTAAATGGCTTCCTATTCCCTTTATAGTGCACTACTTTTGACCAGGGGCCATAGGGCTTTGTTCAAAATAAGTGCACTATATAGGGAATAGGGTGCTTTTTGGGACACTATATCTGTGCTGCTGCTGCTGTTGCTCCACTTTCCATTACTGCTGGTTGTAGCACTATGTACAGCTTCCGACTCTTCAAGACACACACACAAGCATGCATGCATTGACACACACACACACACTTTCTCTATACAGACAGTCACACAAGTTAAACTCAGTCAGGGGCAATAGCTTCAGACAAACCAACCGTTTTTCCATTCAGGCTGGCCAATTAATAGTTGGGAGCCTGAAGAGAGTGTTTATGTCAAAACTCTGTGTATACATACCAAAACCCAGGGTCTAATTTACTGAAGAAACAAGGCCCTTCATATGAATCACTTTCATAAAGCCATTTCAATCCCTAATATTAGTCTAATGTGCACGTTTGTTCTGGTCAGTTAAGTTGATAGTCATGTTTAATATTACCACCAGTCCGGGATTCAATCCAAGGCGTATTATAGTGCAAGTCACTATATAGCCGACAATGCCCTGCACAATAACGAGCCTTGGATGGAATCCTGGCCACAGTCTAATAAGAGGCACAAAGCAGACAGCGTTATTGACACTGCTGCCTCCCAGCCAAGGCAGATGAAACAAATCCTTCTCATAAGCTCTGTTCACTGTTGCCCAATGAAATATTGTCCTTTATGTCCATATCTGAAGGTCATTCACAATTAAGTTTCACACGGCTACTTATCTCCCGGTTGTGTGTCCAGTACCTTTCTAAAGGAGTCGTGACTTAAAATTCTGTACAATAAAATCCGTGCTATGAGATGTTATTCAGAACTTGACAGTTTAGATGATACAACATAGGCTACAGTACAGTAATGTCCGGTATGATTTTCCTATTTTTTACAGTTTCTATCTTTCTTTTTCTTGTGCTGTTATCCTTTTCCTTCCTTTTACGCCATTGTGCTATCTCCCCCTACACTCTCTCTTCCTCTCTATTGTCCTCATGCTCTCTCTCGCTCTCGCTCCCTCAGCAGCGCCCTCTCCTGGGGGCAGGGAAGAATAACAGCCTGTTAAGCGGCAGACCTATCTGGATGGAGAAGATGGTGCTGGGACGGGTCAAGGTGCCGCACACCTTCTCAGTGCACACCTACACCAGACCAACCATCTGCCAGTACTGCAAACGCCTGCTCAAGGGCCTGTTCCGTCAGGGCATGCAGTGCAAAGGTGAGCTGCTCCAAATACTGGCATATTGTGTCGATGGAATAAGTGCCATACTATTTCCAGTAGCTTGAAGAGTTTTTTGATACATTCTGAACAGAATAATTCACCACAAATTAAGATAATGTACATCAATATGCCATCATCATACAGCTGGTTGAGTTCCCAATGATTGGACGTGACATTGAATGTTGAATCTTTGTGTTTTCAGATTGTAAATTTAACTGCCATAAGAGATGTGCAGCCAAGATACCAAGAGACTGCCTTGGTGAGGTTTCCTTTAATGGAGGTAAGTTTGTCTCAAGTAGAATCTCTACCTAAAATTGCCTCTGTAACTTGTCCCATCTATTTACTTAACAGCATTTCTGCCCCCAGTGCATTGACTGCATTGACTCCCCATGTAGTAAGCAAATAGCCTAGTCCCATACGGTATGTACTGTAGCCAACTCTTCTATCACAAGTACAGTATGTGTCTACAGCGCATACAGGAAGGGCCAGGCTAGTAAGCAGTACATGTCTTTATCACACTGAGGACCACATTGGAAATAAGTACATTTAACGCTTGAATGTGTCATCCTTGGGTATTTTTTGTACTTTTAAATTGTTTCAAATCAATCAATCAATATCACCCCCCTCTTCCTGTGTTTCCTGTCCCAGAACCAGCCAGCCCAGGCCCTGACTCTGAGGCCACCATGGAGGTGGACAACAGTTATGTGAACAGTGAGGGCAGCCAGAGCATGGATGACCCAGAGGAGCCTTCCACCCCAGACGATAAGTTCTACATAGAGGGGCCCTGTCTGGATGGGGACAAGGACGAGGAGACAGTCAAGGCTATCAGGTACTTACTTAGTCCCCTTTGTCCCAGGTGGGAAATAATGCCTTCTTCTGCCGCTGGAGTGTGTCTTTGGCCACAGATTGTGCCCTGTCCCATGAGAGACCCATCTCTTCTAGCACAGCCACCACAGGCTATCACTGGACTGGAATAGAAGGAATAGGATTCAATTCATTGAATACCTATCATGTGTGCAGATGCGTTCAATTGTGGAGTTCCTTTTATGTGTGTTCTGTCGTGTTTTGTGTATGAAAATGATTGTGAGTTTGTTGAAACAATCACATGAGCTTTATAAATGTATGTCAGTGCTTTGGCAATTGACATTAGGCGTACATTCGTTCATACGTGCTCTTGCCATTTTGTGTAGCCCCATGACAAGCAGTTTCATCCCCCTAATGCGGGTGGTTCAGTCCATAAAACAAACCAAGCGGAAGAGCTCAACCATGGTTCGGGAGGGGTGGATGGTCCACTACACCAGCAGAGACAACATGGTGAGAAACCTCGTTATAACCCTGGATCATGTTATAGGGTGTATCCCAAATGGCACCCTGTTCCCTTTATAGTGCACTGCTTTTAAGTAGAGGCCGATAGGTGCTGGTCAAAAGTAGTGCACTACATAGGGAATAGGGTGCTATTTGAGGGTGCTATTTGGGACGCACATATAGTCTTTCATCAATAGTCTGTATAGAGATGGAATTGGTTTCAGAGTTCTTGATGATTGCTTTTATCCGTTTCCAGAGGAAGAGGCATTACTGGAGGCTGGATAGCAAGTGTCTGACCCTTCTGCAGAACGAAACGGGATCCAAGTATTACAAGGTACTGCATCTCTCATTATACCTCCCTGTCCAATTATAGCAGTTACACAGACAAAATAAGACATTACTCAAATAAAAAGACAGTTGACAGTGTAGCGTGAGGCTCTGAGACAAGCTAGAAAGGAGTAAGAAAAGTCCTGTCATACCAGCAATTGTTTTCTATTTATGTAGTGAACATTTTAGTAATGTTTTGTGGTGTTATTTGAAGACAGTAAGGTGTTGTCCTCCTCCTCCCACAGACAGACAGGCAAGGCTATAGTTGTTCCTCTCTGTTCTCTCCTCCCTCTATGTTCTTTTTGCATGTGACCAAACAAGCCTCTCAGAATATCACTAATCGTTTGAAGATCTCGGAGGGAGACAGAGAGAGAGAGAGAGCAAGAGGTAGAGATGGGAGAGAGAGAGAGAAGAGAGGAGAGATGAGAGAGAGAGAGAGAGAGAGAGATAGAGAAGTAGAAGAGAGAGAGAGAGAGAGTAGATAGAGATAGAGAGCAGAGTAGAGAGGCCTTGATTGCAGAGAGCGTAGATATCATCTGAGTAGAGATTTCCTCGAGAGATTCACTCAGACTCTCGATATCTCGCTCTTGTATCTAGTTGTTATGTACTTGAGAGCCGCGTAGCATACGAAGATATCGAGATTCATATAAGAGAGAGAGAGACACGTTTAATAGAGAAGCTGGGAGTAGGAGAGAAGAGAGTGCGAGAGGAGGGATGAGCGATCTATACTCGCATTCGAAGAGAGGAGAACGAGAGGAGTAGAGAGATATGTATAGCGAAGTAGTACTTGCCAGAGAGAATATAATAGATGAGATTGGTTGAAGAGATGTAAAAAGAAGGGAAGAGAGAAAGAGGTGGAGTAGAGAGAGCCCTGTGGCTAAGCTTGCTCCTCTTGTGGCAGACGGATAGTCAGTACCAGGACCAGGGGGCTTCCCTGTGGTGTCTCTGGCCATGCCTCCCTCCCTGCCTGGCAGGCTGCCAGCATGCCTTGTGCCAAGATTGGGGAGGCACGTCCTGCCTTTTAATCAGGGGAGCGCTTCGCTTCCCCCCGGCCCGGCGGAGCGCCCTGTCATGTGGTGCACTCGGCAAACCACAAGCAGTTCTTCTGATACTGGCGACAGAGGCGTGGAGGGGCCCGTGCGGGCGCAGCAGACTGGGCTGACTGAGAGACGATTGGCTAGCCAGCAGCAGAGAAGCTTCACTCCTCTCTTTCAGATGTTTTTTCTCCTTGTGGGTGTGTTGTCCTGCTCGGCTACAGCAGAGGAAGGAAGGCGGAATGTTAAATTGGACTTGAAAAGCCCAACACACTTCATTCCTTAAAGGCTGTCAGAGAGTGAGGAGAAGAGAGGAGAGGCCATAGCAGAGAAAAGGAGAGAGGGGGAGCTGATAAAGGTGGGACAGTTAGGAGTTAGGACCCTATTCCGTAGGTGTACTAGTTCCTGGAAACCTCAGCCTCACGGGTCATTTGATTAGCTGACAATTCATTGTGACCTTTGATGACCTTTGAGCTGCTCATCTGACCCCATCCTCAGGAGATCCCGCTGTCAGAGATCCTACAGGTGGAGCAGGCGCAGGAATTCCAAAGCCTGGCCCAGGGCAGCAACCCTCACTGCTTCGAGATCATCACCGCCACGATGGTCTACTACGTTGGGGAGAATAACAGCGGTCACTTCCATAACCCTGCCTTGGCCGCCACCGGCGTGGGGCTAGAGGTGGCCCAGGGCTGGGAGAAGGCCATCCGGCAGGCACTGATGCCTGTCACTCCCCAACCCAGTGTCTGCACTGGCCCTGGACAAGGCAAGGATCACAGTGAGTAGAGTGGTAACCCTTCTGCTAATGTGATTGAGATCTGCTGAGGAGATTAGTCAAATTTAATGTCACGCAATGGTAATGTTTTTATGGGAGTGTGTGTGTGTGTGTGTGTGTGTGTGTGTGTGTGTGTGTGTGTGTGTGTGTGTGTGTGTGTAGAGCTTCAGTATATTTGGGCTTTTTTGGAAAACACAGAGGTACTCCACTGTGACCTCCCGCTGCCTGCTCAAAGTCTATTACTGGAAAATGAAGTGGTGGTATTTTAAGACGATTTAAGGGATTTGAGGGGATTTTCTAGCCTTTTTGGATTTATCTCTGGCTGTGATAAGTGATATGAAAATTCCTCCCATTAATGAATTAATAGAGAGTGACAACATACACTGAACAAAAATATAAACTGAGTTACAGTTCATATAAGGAAATCAGTCAATTGAAATAAATTCATTAGGCCCTAATCTATGGATTTCACATGACTGGGAATACAGATATGCATCTGTTGGTCACAGATACCTTAAAAAAAGGTAGGGGCGTGGATCAGAAAACCAGTCAATATCTGGCGTGACCACTATTTGTCTCATGCAGCGCGACACATCTCCTTTGCATAGAGTTGATCAGGCTGTTGATTGAGGCCTGTGGAATGTTGTCCCACTCCTCTTCAATGGCTGTGCGAAGTTGCTGGATATTGGCGGGAACTGGAACACGCTGTCGTACACGTCGATCCAGAGCATCCCAAACAGGCTGAATGGGTGACATGTCTTGTGAGTATGCAGGCCATGGAAGAACTGGGACATTTTCAGCTTCCAGGAATTGTGTACAGATCCTGAAACATGAGGTGATGGCGGCAGATAAATGGCACGACAATGGGCCTCAGGATCTCGGTGCATTCAAATTGCCATCGATTAAATGCAATTGTATTTGTTGTCCGTAACTTATACCTGCCCATATCCCAACCCCACCTTGGGGCACTCTGTTCACAACATTGACATCAGCAAACTGCTCGCCCACACGACGCCATACACACTGTCTGCCATCTGCCCAGTACAGTTGAAACCGGGATTCATCTGTGAAGAGCACATTTCTCCTGTGTGCCAGTGGCCATCGAAGCTGAGCATTTGCCCATTGACGTCAGTTACGACACTGAACTGCAGTCAGGTCAAGACCCTGGTGAGGACGACGAGCACACAGATGAGCTTCCCTGAGACGGTTTCTGACAGTTTGTGCAGAAATTATTTGGTTGTGCAAACCCACAGTTTCATCACCTGTCTGGATGGCTGGTCTCAGACGATCCTGCAGGTGAAGAAGCTGGATGTGGTTAAACGTGGTCTGCGGTTGTGAGGCCGGTTGGACGTACTGCTAAATTCTCTAAAACGACATTGGAGGCGGCTTATGGTAGACATATGAACATTACATTCTCTGGCAACAGTTCTGGTGGACATTCCTGCAGTCAGCATGCCAATTACACGCTCCCTCAAAACTTGAGACATCTGTGGCATTGTGTTGTGTGACAAAACTGCACATTTTAGAGTGGCATTTTATTGTCCTCAGCACAAGGTGCACCTGTGTAATGATCATGCTGTTTAATCAGCTTCTTGACAAGCCACACCTGTCAGGTGGATTGATTATCTTGGCAGAGGAGAAATGCTCACTAACAGGGATGTAAACTAATTTGTGCACAACATTTGAGAGAAATAAGCTTTTTGTGCGTATGGAAAATTTCTGGAATCTTTTATTTCAGCTCATGAAACATGGGACCAACACTTTACATGTTTCGTTTATATTTTTGTTCAGTGTAATTGAGTTAAACTCACCAGAACAATCCGTGGTTACACAATGGAGTACAATGTGAGTGACTCCTGAGTGGCGCAGTGGTCTAAGGCACTGCATCGCAGTGCTAACTGTGCCACTAGAGATCCTGGTTCGAACCCAGGCTCTGTCGCAGCAGGCCGCGACCGGGAGACTCATGGGCGGCGCACAATTGGCCCAGCGTCGTCCAGGGTAGGGGAGGGAATGGCCGGCAGGGATGTAGCTCAGCTGATAGAGCATGGCGTTTGCAACGCCAGGGTTGTGGGTTCGATTCCCAGGGGGGGCCAGTATAAAAAAAATAAAAAAATTATTCACTAACTGTAAGTCGCTCTGGATAAGAGCGTCTGCTAAATGACTAAAATGTAAAATGTAAATTAGGGACAGATCGAAAATAATTTCACATGACCCTCCCTTGTACTGTAAAATAAATTGAACCCCCCCCCCCCCCATAGAATTAACTGAAAATAATGTTTACGACCACAAATAACAATAACTGTAGCGACCCTGTGTTTATAAACTTGGATATTGATTTTGCCATAACAGCATGCTGAAGTGGCACAGTCGATGCCACGCAGGGCTACGGGCCAGAAGGTTGAGAGTTCACCGACCACCACGGACAAGCACACTCTCCCTACCTGTTTCATTACACTACATTTAGAGCCAGCTGCAGACAATGATCAGCTAGGGGGAAATCAGATTTTCAATATTTTGATGCCATATTTATAATTATATAAAACATATGCAACAAATTTTCCACCAACAGGTTTCTGTGGCAATGCACCACACAACCAATAAACAAAGCATACCGACTTCGGGCACTTCAATATCATGGTTTGCATTTTCAACCCCACAATAAATAGACTATGTCAATCTCGACAAACAGAAAATACATCCCTCCCTAACTTGTAGGCTTACCCAGTATAGAAGGCTTGGCTTGACAATCTCTGAATGTCATTCAACTTTTTGGTGTTTTGTAACAGATGTCTCTTTCCATTCATCAATTGGCCGCTGCACAGTTTGGATTGATTGATTGATTTAATTTGTCAGTAAAAAAAATACATACACCATCGGTCAAAAGTTTTAGAACACCTACTTATTCAAGGGTTTTTCTTTATTTTTACATTATAGAATAATAGTGAAGACATCAAAACTATGAAATAACACATATGGAATCATGTAGTAACCAAAAAAGTGTTAAACAAATCAAAATATATTTTATATTTGAGATTCTTCAAATAGCCACCTTTTGCCTTGATGACAGCTTTGCACACACGATAGCCTATTATTAAAAAAAAAGGTGTGGCTACTTTCCTAAAACAATAATTATCCTCCTCACGGTTCAGCTGTCAGAGATTCGAGCACTAAATGTATCAAGGCACTGCATGCATAGGCCTATAAGCTTAGGTGTCCACTGTATGATATTAATATTTTAATAAATATATACAGTGAGGGAAAAAAAGTATTTGATCCCCTGCTGATTTTGTACGTTTGCCCACTGACAAAGAAATGATCAGTCTATAATTTGAATGGTAGGTTTATTTGAACAGTGAGAGACAGAATAACAACAAACAAATCCAGAAAAACGCATGTCAAAAATGTTATTAATTGATTTGCATTTTAATGAGGGAAATAAGTATTTGACCCCCTCTTAATCAGAAAGAATTCTGGCTCCCAGGTGTTTTTTATACAGGTAACGAGCTGAGATTAGGAGCACACTCTTAAAGGGAGTGCTCCTAATCTCAGCTTGTTACCTGTATAAAAGAACCTGTCCACAGAAGCAATCAATCAATCAGATTCCAAACTCTCCACCATGGCCAAGACCAAAGAGCTCTCCAAGGATGTCAGGGACAAGATTGTAGACCTACACAAGGCTGGAATGGGCTACAAGACCATCGCCAAGCAGCTTGGTGAGAAGGTGACAACAGTTGGTGCGATTATTCGCAAATGGAAGAAACACAAAATAACTGTCAATCTCCCTCGGCCTGGGGCTCCATGCAAGATCTCCCCTCGTGGAGTTGCAATGATCATGAAAACAGTGAGGAATCAGCCCAGAACTACACGGGAGGATCTTGTCAATGATCTCAAGGCAGCTGGGACCATAGTCACCAAGAAAACAACTGGTAACACACTACGCCGTGAAGGACTGAAATCCTGCAACGCCCGCAAGGTCCCCCTGCTCAAGAAAGCACATATACAGGGCCGTCTGAAGTTTGCCAATGAACATCTGAATGATTCAGAGGAGAACTGGGTGAAAGTGTTGTGGTCAGATGAGACCAAAATCGAGCTCTTTGGCATCAACTCAACTCACCATGTTTGGAGGAGGAGGAATGCTGCCTATGACCCCAAGAACACCATCCCCACCGTCAAACATGGAGGTGGAAACATTATGCTTTGGGGGGGGGGGGGGGGGGGGGGTTCTGCTAAGGGGACAGGACAACTTCTCCACATCAAAGGGATGATGGACGGGGCCATGTACCGTCAAATCTTGGGTGAGAACCTCCTTCCCTCAGCCAGGGCATTGAAAATGGGTCGTGGATGGGTATTCCAGCATGACAATGACCCAAAACACACGGCCAAGGCAACAAAGGAGTGGCTCAAGAAGAAGCACATTAAGGTCCTGGAGTGGCCTAGCCAGTCTCCAGACCTTAATCCCATAGAAAATCTGTGGAGGGAGCTGAAGGTTCGAGTTGCCAAACGTCAGGCTCGAAACCATAATGACTTGGAGAAGATCTGCAAAGAGGAGTGGGACAAAATCCCTCCTGAGATGTGTGCCAACCTGGTGACCAACTACAAGAAACGTCTGACCTCTGTGATTGCCAACAAGGGTTTTGCCACCAAGTACTAAGTCATGTTTTGCAGAGGGGTCAAATACTTATTTCCCTCATTAAAATGCAAATAAATTAATAACATTTTTGACATGCGTTTTTCAGGAATATTTTTTTTTTTTTTTTTTTTTTTTTTTTTCTGTCTTTCACTGTTCAAATAAACCTACCATTAAAATTATAGACTGATCATGTCTTTGTCAGTGGGCAAACGTACAAAATCAGCAGGGGATCAAATACTTTTTTCCCTCACTGTATATACAGTATAGCCTATATAAAGGAAGAGAAGCTTAGGCCTAACCCCAGAGATATATAGATATGCCGGTGGGAATATTTTGTATAAAGATAAGCATTATATTGTTAGATTATAGGAGTAACTCTGGTAGGCCTGAAACAGTCTTCCTCACCTCAAGTTCAACTGTCGGAGTCAGTTGGAGAACCGGGGCCTTTACATCATAGGCCTGCAGTAGCTAAAGCTTACTAATAGCCACACCATACCAAACCTTCACAAACGTTTCTAAACTTTATTCGGATAATATCAAAAGTAATTCAAGACATTGTTTATAGAGAAAATACGAGCAGAAGATTGAATGTAAACCAGGGGAAAACCGCACTACCCTCCCCTGTGCTCAATAAAAACACACACAACCCTCCCCAAAGCAAAAAAAATAGTTTGACAACCCTCCCCTATTTTGGTTCTTTGATGGTTACCACAGGTTCAAACTAGTGGCCTACCTACCTCAAGCTTAATTAAAACCTAGTTTCTATTGGTCGAGGTCTTTGGGTTTAATTTTGCATCAACATTTTGTCTGTGTCTCAAATGGCACCTATTCCCAATATAGTGACTCGGTTAAAAAGTAGTGGGGAATAGGGTGCAATTTGGGACACCGCCTTTGTTCTACTGGTCTGTGCATACAGTACAGACTGTTTGATATATTACTCTCTATGGATTGTGTTACATAAGCCCAGTCTTTGGGTGACCCAGCTGATTGGTATTTGGTGGCCCACTTCTGGGACCGGACTGCTGGTATAGATCAGTCCGAGTTCAGAACCAATGGAAACTCCAATGGAAATGTACTGAAAGTACAGCCTTTGGGCATTCACCTAAATAGGTTTTAGTTATTCTTTACATACAGTATATATAAATATACAGTGCATTCGGAAATGATTCAGACCCCTTCCTTTTTTCCACATTTTGCCTTATTCTAAAATTGATAAAAGAAACGATTTTCCTCATATATCTACACACAATACCCCATAATGACAAAGCGAAAACATTTTTTTTTTTTTTTGCGAATTGATTTTTAAAACAATTAAAAAATACCTTATTTACGTAAGTATTCAGACCCTTTGCTATGAGACTCGAAATTGAGCTCAGATGCATCCTGTTTCCATTGATCATCCTTGAGATGTTTCTACAATTTGATTGGAGTCCACCTGTGGTAAATTCAGTTGATTGGACATGATTTTGAAAGTCACACACCTGTCTATATAAGGTCACACAGTTGACAGTGCATGTCAGAGCTAAAACCAAGTCATGAGGTCAAAGGAATTGTCCGTAGAGCTCCGAGACAGGATTGTGTTAAGGCACAGATCTGGGGAAGGGTACCAAAAAATGTCTGCAGCATTGAAGGTCCCTAAGAACACAGTGGCCTACATCATTCTTAAATGGAAGAAGTTTGGAACCACCAAGACTCTTCCTAGAGCTGGCCGCCTGGCCAAACTGAGCAATGGTGGGAGAAGGGCCTTGGTCAGGGAGGTGACCAAGAACCCAATAGCCACTCTGTCAGAGCTCTAGAGTTCCTCTGTGGAGATGGGAGAACTTTCCAGAAGGACAACCATCTCTGCAGCACTCCACCAATCAGGCCTTTATGGTAGAGTGGCCAGATGGAAGCCACTCCTCAGTAAAAGGCACATGACAGCCTGCTTGGATTTTGCCAAAAAGCACCTAAATGACTCTCAGACCATGAGAAACAAGATTCTCTGCGCTGATGAAACCAAGATTGAACTCTTTGGCCTGAATGCCAAGCGTCACGTCTGAAGGAAACTTGGCACCATCCCTACGGTGAAGCATGGTGGTGGCAGTATCATGCTATGGGGATGTTTTTCAGCGGCAGGGACTGGGAGACTAGTCAGGATCGAGGGAAAGATAAACGGAGCAAAGTACAGAGAGATCCTTGATGAAAACCTCCTCCAGAGCGCTCAGGACCTCAGACTGGGGCGAAGGTTCACCTTCCAACAGGACAACGACCCTAAGCACACAGCCAAGACAACACAGGAGTGGCTTTGGGACAAGTATCTGAATGTCCTTGATTGGCCCAGCCAGAGCCCGGACTTGAACCCAATCGAACATCTCTGGGGAGACTTGAAAATAGCTGTGCAGCGACGCTCCCCATCCAACCTGACAGAGCTTGAGAGGATCTGCAGAGAAGAATGGGAGAAACTCCCCAAATACAGGTGTGCCAAGCTTGTAGCATCATACCCAAGAAAACTTGAAGCTGTAATCGCTGCCAAAGGTGCTTCAACAAAGTACTGAGGAAAGGGTCTGAATACTTATGTAAATGTGATATTTCCGGGTTTTTTTAAAAATACATTTGCACACAAAAAACTAAAAACGTATGTTGCTTTGACATTATGGGGTATTGTGTGTAGATTGATGGGGGGGGGGGTAACGTAACAAAATGTGGAAAAAGTCAAAGGGTCTGAATACTTTCCGAATGCACTGTATACTACAGAAGGGACATTTCCTGAAGAAAATGTGTGTGTTTGCTTCAGCTTGAATAGTTAAGCATCATATCTACTTTAAATATATACACAATTAAGAATATAACCATGTGTCCTTACCTTGGACCTGCTTCAAATAGAGCTTGATCATTTATTATTTCCGAAACCTCACAATCTGTTTCTTGTCTCTTCAGAGGACCTTTCGATCAGCATATCAGTGTCTAACTCACAGATCACAGAGAATGTGGTAAGTGTATATCCAATACAGCATATTAGATATGTATAGCTACAGCTCCACTGGCATTCCTGATAACTCAGGAATTTAGGAATATTGAAAAATGTCTGCATAATGTTAGATGGATTGTCTTTTTAGTAAAATATGTATTTTCTCTTTTTTTAGGATATCAGTTCAGTCTACCAGATCTTTGCTGATGAGGTCCTGGGGTCGGGTCAGTTTGGGATTGTGTATGGAGGTAAGTCAAACTGACTCTACAGTAGTTCCATTGGTTTTATGCACATTGTGAAGTGGAGAGGAAATTCAGCAACTGATAAGAGCTTATTTTTCGCTTTTAACAATAACAAAGCTATTTGATCAACTTCCACTGTCTTCCAAGAGTTGTTGAATTTCCTCTTCACTTCTGTTTGCTCCTCAATTCATACACCTTGGTTGGAGAGCGCGGTAGCAGCAGAGTTCCTTTCCCTTTGGCTTCATGTACATCCATCCATGCTTTCTTCTCTTTATAGTGGCTTTAATTCACAGGGAGGGGAAGACTACTAGCTTGTTTTTCTTTCTATGCTATGCAAATAAACATTTATTAGTGGGATTTCTCACTGTTGGTCTATTCTATAGTTGGAGACAGAGGAAGTAATAGACACAGTTCATTTAAAACAGTTTATCTTTTTAATTCTCATGTTTAGGTAAACACAGAAAGACTGGGAGAGACGTGGCCATCAAAATCATCGACAAGTTGAGGTTCCCTACCAAGCAGGAGAGCCAGCTGAGGAACGAGGTGGCCATTCTCCAGGTAGACAAAGGACTGAGAAGCCTGGCTTTTTTTCTAGCCATTCTAGACCCCGATAGCCTGGGAATCCGAACTGGTTAGCTACGTTTCACTATTGTTTCACTTCACAACATTAGTAAAATGTAGAGATTCAGTTTGGAGTCCCGGGCTAGATCCTTGAAATGCTGTGTGTTTTCAGATTTCAAAGTGCGTCTGTGGACCCTGGTATATACATATCATATCACCATATGTGGAGTGTGGTGTTAGTTGATAAAAACAAACCATCTAATATGTGTGCAGCTCTGCAGAGTTGAGGTCATCTGTCACCAAGCCCATAGTGAACACGTTTCTGTATATCTAAGGTCTCCTTCTCTCTAATTGCACATCAGGGATAAATATTACATTTTCAATTGAATTGAATTAAATCCCTGCCTATCAGAACCTTCACCATCCTGGGATCGTCAACCTGGAGTGCATGTTCGAGACTCCCGAGAGGGTCTTTGTTGTCATGGAGAAGCTCCATGGCGACATGCTGGAGATGATCTTGTCCAGTGAGAAGAGCAAGCTCCCTGAGCGTCTCACCAAGTTCCTAGTCACGCAGGTCAGTTACAGAAAAATATAATTTATACTAATGACCCACACGGTAACACTTTACATAAAGTGTTTTTATTACTGTGTAATTGTTCCTGTACCCTAGAGATAATTACACCATACTGGAAAGCCACTGTAATGACAAGTACCATCGCTCAACCAATAGTAAGTCTCCCCATGTGCTTCCTGACCCACAGATCCTGGTGGCTTTGAGGCATCTCCATTTTAAGAACATCGTCCACTGTGACCTGAAGCCTGAGAATGTGCTGCTGGCTTCCGCAGAGCCCTTCCCTCAGGTGAGTGCATGAGCTGTCCACCACAACAAGCAAAATGGGCTACTGGGCTCAGTGTGCTATTGGTTTATTTAACCAGATTGTTATTGTAAATGAGAATTGATCAATTACTTATAATTACTTTGCTTACTAAAGCTTTAAAAATGGAACTTACCTATAAGGAATGACAGCTCAAGGATGAACTTGGTTCCTATGTGTGTTCCTATAGGTGAAGCTTTGTGACTTTGGCTTTGCTCGCATTATTGGCGAGAAGTCGTTCAGGCGCTCTGTGGTGGGCACACCCGCCTACCTGGCGCCCGAGGTCCTACGAAGTAAAGGCTACAACCGTTCCCTGGACATGTGGTCGGTGGGTGTGATCGTTTACGTCAGCCTTAGCGGAACCTTCCCCTTCAACGAGGACGAAGACATCAACGACCAGATCCAGAACGCTGCCTTCATGTACCCTCCCAACCCCTGGAAGGAGATCTCTGGAGAGGGTAAGAGCGAGTGGGTGTGTGCATCCCAAATGGAACTGTATTCCCTTTATAGTGCACTAGATAGCGAATACGGTGCCATTGGGGATGCACTGTTTTTTTCGGAAACAAAACAAATTAAAACATCTTCTTCTTTTCAACACGTCCAATTTTGCTATTATGGATCATTTCTTTTGAGAGCCATCTATAGCACTCTTGCTTTATAAGTAGATTCTAGACAATAGCCATGCACTGGCGCTTTTTAGTCACCAACCCCTATAATCACCATGAAATTGGCCATTTCACATTACAGGATAAATACGCTGTTGACTCACTCAGTGTACTTACAGTGTGATCTCTGGGGTTACTGCCGGTCAAAACTAGACTGTGGCTTGATCCCAAATGGCACCCTACAGGGGCCATAGGGCTCTGGTCAAAAGTAGTGCACTATAAAGGGAAAAGGGTGCCATTTGGGAAGCTGCCTGTATTCCTAGTGGGTTGACCAGTAGACCGCCTAAGTTTCTGTTTCCCAGGGTCGCTGTGGTTGTAGTGGGTGGTCTTCACCTCTCATGGTGTGGTCTTTTTCAGTCTCTCCCCATAGAAAAATTAGCCCAACTCTTTGGAAGTGTCTTTGGAACTTTCTTTGGAACTTTGAGACTGATAATAGCATAATATTTGTGTAGTCCTAATTGACTCAACCTAGAGGTAGCCATGTACACTATATATACAAAAGTATGTGGACACCCCTTCAAATGAGTGGATTCAGCTATTTCAGCCACACCCATTGCTGACAGGTGTATAAAATCGAGCACAAAGCCATGCAATCTCCATAGACAAACATTGGCAGTAGAATGGCTTTACTGAAGAGCTCAGTGACTTCAACGTGGCACTGTCATAGGATGCCACCTTTCCAACAAGTCAGTTTGTCAAATTTCTGCCCTGCTAGAGCTGCCCCGGTCAACTGTAAGTGCTGTTATTGTGAAGTGGAAAAATCGAGGAGCAACAACGGCTCAGCCACAAAGTGGTAGGCCACACAAACTCACAGAACGGGACCGCCGAGTGCTGAAGCGCCGAGTGCGTAAAAATCCTCTGTCCTCGGTTGCAACACTCACTACCGAGTTCCAAATTGCCTCTGGACGCAACGTCAGCACAATAACTGTTAGTCGGGAGCTTAATGAAATGGGTTTCCATGGCACACAAGCCTCACCATGCGCAATGCCAAGCGTCGGCTGGAGTAGTGTAAAGCTCGCAGCAATTGGACTTTGGAGCAGTGGAAATGTGTTCCCTGGAGTGATGAATCACGCTTCAGCATCTGGCAGTCCGACGGACAAATCTGGGTTTGGCGGATGCCAGGAGAACGTTACCTGCCCCAATGCATGGTGCTAACTGTAAAGTTTGGTGGAGGAGGAATAATGGTTTGGGCTAGGCCCCTTAGTTCCAGTGAAGGGAAATCTTAACCTAGAATGACATTCTAGGCGATTCTGTGCTTCCAACTTTGTGGCAACAGTTTGGGGAAGGCCCTTTCCTGTTTCAGCATGACAATGCTCCCGTGCACAAAGCGAGGTCCATACAGAAATGGTTTGTCGAGATCGGTGTGGAACAACTTGACTGGCCTGCACAGAGCCCTGACCTCAACCCCATCAAACACCTTTGGGATGAATTGGAACGCCAACTGCTAGCCAGGCCTAATCGCCCAACATCAGTGCCCAACCTCACTAATGCTCTTGTGACTGAATGGAAGCAAGTTCCCGCAGCAATGTTCCAACATCTAGTGGAAAGCCTTCCCAGAAGAGTGGAGGCTGTTATAGCAGCAAAGGGGGAACCAACTCCATATTAATGCCCATGATTTTGGAATGACATTTTCAACGAGCAGGTGTCCATATACTGTTGGTCATGTAGTGTTTTTGATACAAGTCTGGAGTGGCCTGACTGGAGGGAGATTGTGCTGGATGGAAATGTAGATCTCACTTGTTTCTCATGTTGATGTTGTGCATGTTTGTCCATCCACACTCACAGCCACAGACCTGATCAACAACCTCCTCCAGGTGAAGATGAGGAAGCGCTACAGTGTGGACAAGTCTCTCAGTCACCCCTGGCTCCAGGTAACACACCTGGACATTGACTAGGAGGAGCTACCTTCAGTCACACCACGTTCATCACATCATTAAATGCAACACATCTCTATGGTGTTCACAGTTCACTCTGTTATGAAAATAGGACTTACTCCATCTAAGGATCTATGAAGAGCTACTTCTCCTAGGCTTCTTCTTGCAGTTTGCTAATGACAATACACTTAACCTATACACTTCCCTTCCCTCCTCCAGGATTATCAGACGTGGCTGGACCTCCGAGAGTTTGAGACACGCAGAGGAGAGCGCTACATCACCCACGAGAGCGACGACACCCGCTGGGAGGAGTTTGCGGACGAGAGAAGCCTGCACTACCCCAAGCACTTCATCATGGCTCCCAATCTGGACGACATGGAGGAGGACCCCTAGTGGCCGGGAGGACTGCCTGCAGGCTGCACGTGTTTCAGGAGGAGTTCACAGGGCATCCTGGGACTCGGAGTCCCATGGCTAGTGCTTAGGTCCCTGAAACCTGCTACTGCTGGCTGAGACTGTAAGCTTAAACAGGCGGAGATGCATGTATAGCCTACATGTATGTGCATAAAGGTGTAATCAGGCACTACCACATGGAACAGACTGGGGGCGCTGCAGTGGACAGGCAGCTGTGTGGTGGTACTAAGTACCATGACATGGGAACACACGGTGGTGTTGTGGGGGGGGGGGGGGGGGGGGGGGTGATCGAGATCGAGTATCTTTAGGTTGTTTTGTTTTCATCACATTCCAGAGACGTGGCTTCTTCTCCGCTGGCTGCCTTCTCTACAAGCCATAATATACAGTATGTCTCATGAACCTGAAAGGCATACAGTACCTTTGGTGGTTGGTTAGATAGGGATTCCCTCAGCAACAGTAATAAACATTTGCACTGCCTTTCAACCCAGATAAAGGGTTACTATAAAAGACGGTTACTTTAGACCAAATCCAAGAGACGAAGAAACAGTCAAGCTTTTCAGCTTGTATAGCATATTTGTTGTTAGTTTATCATGTGTATTTGAAATCTCGTCACGACTACATTCAATTGTTAATTTACCATGAGATTGCTATTTTTGGAAAACATTTATTTCCAATGGTTTCATGTAATGGTATTGAACTGGAACACTTAAAGGGATACGTCGGGATTTTGGCAATGAAGCCCTTTATCTACTTCCCCAGAGTCAGATGAACTCGTGGATACCATTTTTATGTCTCTTCATCCAGTATGAAGGAAGTAAGAGGTATTTTCGCAAGCCAATGCTAACTAGTGTTAGCGGAATGCCTGGAAGTCTATGGAATCTACTAGCATGCTAGCAGTTATCATAGACTTCCAGTCACTAGTTAGCAACTTCCTTCAAACTGCACGCAGAGACATAAAAATGGTACCCACGAGTTAATCTGACAGGGGAAGTAGATAAAGGGCTTCATTTCCAATATCCTGAAGTATCCCTTTAATACAAAATATGCTCATGTTTATTAGGTACACCACCCCGTTCACAAAAATGGTTTGCTCCTACAGACAGTGAGTCACATAGCCGTGGCTTGCTATATAAAGCAGGCAGACAGGCCTCGAGTGACCTTAGCGACTTTGAGCGTGGTATGATTGTCGGTGGCCAGGCGCGCCAGTCCCAGTACCTCAGAAACGTCCGGTCTCCTGGGATTTTCACGCACGACAGTGTCTAGGGTTTACCAAGAATGGTAAACAAAATACATCCAGTCAGCAGTAGCCCTGTAGGTGAAAACAGCTCGTTGATGAGCGGTTGAAGGAGAATGGCAAGGATCGTGCAAGCTTAACAGGCGGGCCACAAACAGGCAAATAACGGCGCAGTACAACAGTGGTGTGCAGAACGGCATCTCGGATCGCACAACTCGTCGGTCCTTGTCACGGATGGGCTATTGCAGCAGACGACCACACCAGGTTCCACTCCTATCAGCTAAAAACAACAAGAAGCGGCTCCAGTGGGAACACGATCACCAACACTGGACAATTAAGGAATGGAAAACATCGCCTGGTCCAACAAATCCCGGTTCCTGTTGCGTCATGCTGATGGCAGAGTCAGGATTTGGCATAAGCAGCATGAGTCCATGGCCCCATCCTGCCTGGTGTCAACGGTAGAGGCTGGTGGCGGTGATGTAATGGTGTGGGGAATGTTTTCCTGGCACGCGTTATGTCCCTTGCTACCAATTGAGCAACGTTTCCATTTCCCAAACAATTCAGGCTGTTCTGGAGGCAAAGGGGGGTCCGACCCGGTACTAGTTGGGTGTACCTTATAAACTGGTCATTGACCACATATATATTTATTTTGCTTATTCGGTGGGATGTTTTTTGCACTTTTAGTTAACTCCTGTAATCTCTGGCTCCCTTATTGGATGCCTTGAATGAAGTTTTGAACCAATCAGCAGCTGCTACACACGCTCTTAACTTCCCTCCTTAGAAAAATGCCAGAGAAAAAAAAAGTATGTTAACCCAAGCCTGAGAATTCTACCCATAGAAATAGAATTAATAGAAGTAATTTCTTTTTTAATGATTATACCCTTATTTATTTTTATAACTACGAACATTCTGGATGTCAACTAAATATAATACAGTGCAAAGTGTCACAAAAACATTGATAGGATAGATCAATGATAACCAAGCCTAGGGAATTGTAGATGTTAATTCTCTGCTCTCAGCCATACCGTTAGCTTACAAATGTTATATTTTTCAATGAAGTAAACATAGTTGATAAATGTTTTTCAAGTACCAAATGTATGAACTGATGGGCCTTCTCAAAGCTCTGCCTTATTTCTTTCCCTTCTTGTTTCGTTACATGACCAATACCTTGTTGTTCCTTATGTCCTATTGTGTATGTATGATTGACTGGTTCCACCCAAGGCCAGAACTACTGCTTTACTCCGGTGAGAGAGTTGCAGGGCCAAGCAGTCCAGCAGATTCACAAAGGATGCATCCCAAATGGCACCCTATTCCCTATAGAGTGCACTAATTCTGACCATAGCTCTGGTCAAAAGCAGTGCACTAAATCGGGAATAGAGCACCATTTGGGATGTAAGCCAAAGTCTGAGCATAGTGCTAAAGCATGGCAGGATACAGAGAAAGCAGCAGAAAAATGAACTCAGTACTCCGTAATAATACAATGTGCACATGTTTGTTGAAGAGAGAAATCCTTAATTTGTTTGTCATAGAGAGAAGAAGAGGGATGTGGTTTACCATGCCTTCAATACAGTGTGTGTGTGTGTGTGTGTGTGTGTGTGTGCGCACACTTGTTACATTTTGGCTTTGTTTTTCCCATCTCAACCTAAATCATGGGGACATTTGAATTGATCATGTCTCATTGAATGATGGCCTTACAGCATGTAACTGCTTATAGCAGTTAATAACATACAAATACATCATAAATAAAATAATAGGGTGAGTATTTGACATCACTGGAACCAAGTCAGACTGTTATTATGCTCAACACAGGATACCCAGTTAAAACATACTGTAAGTGAGAATAAAGAATACAATGAATGCAGAATTCATTGACTGTGCAATTGTGTGCAGGGACAAAAATTTGGATTGTTCTTTTGTGAAAACACCAAGTGACTTAATTGAAACACCAATATGTTTTCTTCTCCCTCTCCTTATTTCGTTATTAGCCTATTTTCAGTTTCAACCCACCACTTTGGACTGTGAAACAACATTCTGGTATACTGTATTTTCAGTATACAAAGCGCATTTAGAAGGGTAATGACTTAAACCTGAGATTCATTTAAAGTTTGTGTTGCCACTGGATTGGCAGATGTCAGTGTTTTCTATATTTCAATATTGACATATCTAATAAAGAATTGCCTCGGACAGTACTGCAGACAATGTACTCATTTAATTTGTAGCTCGTTTCTCTTTGGTCCTATACATTTTTTATTTATTTATATAAGATTACACTGAGTGTACAAAACATTAAGAACACATTCCTAATATTTAGTTGCACCCCGTTTTGCCCTCAGAACAATCTTAATTCTTCAGGGCATGGACTCTTCAAGGTGTCGAAAGCGTTCCACAGGTATGCTGGCCCATGTTGACTCCAATGCTTCCCACAGTTGTGTCAAGTTGGCTGGATGTCCTTTGGGTGGTGGACCATTCTTGATACACACGGGAAACTGTTGAGCGTGAAAAACCCAACAGCGTTGCAATTCTTGACACAAACCGGTGCACCTGGGCACCTACTACCATACCCCGTTCAAAGGCACTTCAATCTTTTGTCTTGCCCATTCACCCTCTGAATGGCACACAGACACAAGCCATGTCTCAATCGTCTCAAGGCTTTAAAATCCTTCTTTAACCTGTCTCCTCCCCTAATCAATAAGTAACATCAATAAGGGATCATAGCTTTCACCTGGTCAGTCTGTCATGGAAAGAGCAGGTGTTCTTAATGTTTTGTATACTCAGTGTATAGCAGTGTTGAAGTACTCGAGACCAGTCACATGTTGAATGTCTCGGTCTTGTCTCAGTCATAGTAAAACTCCTTGTATGCTATTTTTTATCTCACTGAAGTTATGTTCTGATTATGCTAGTCACAAAAGGGGTCCCAAAAGGTTTGAGAACCCCTGAACTATTGGACTCAAGTGTGTGCGTCCCTAATGGCACCCTACTCCCTATGTAGTGCACTACTTTTGACCAGGGCCCATAGTAGTGCACTATATAGGGTACCATTTGGGAAACATAAGAAGTGGGGGTAAAGAGCTCTTATTACGGCTCTCTAATCTGTGTAATTAAAACCAAATGCCACAGAGTGCCAGTGGAGCCTGTCACATTTCATTGTGCCATATGTTAGATGAACAGAGCCGTTTGTGGCTGGGGAAGAAAATAAATGGCTAACTACTGCTGTGTAATGATAGCACCACATGTTGAGGCCTACAGAAGGCCCCAGAAAATGAAAACATTTCTGTTGCCTTTCTAAGAAATCGACATGTTCCTTCCAAATGTAAATATACTGGATTAATACCATAATATTTTCAGTCTTAATCAAATGATCACATAAAAAGAAAGAAAATATTACATTATGTGATTCCCAGACAAAGATAGTACAGATACATATAATACACACAAGAAAAATGTGGTGTAATGACTTTTAAATCATCAAGTCTTTAATATGTTAGCTTCACATTAGCCTCCCTCAGTAGGACTGGCTGGTTATTTTGGCTATGGTGATTGTCCTGTGTAATAGTACCTTTTAATTGCTACTGGGGCAGCAAGGGCGAGACTGTCAGAGCAAAACACAGCATGCTGCGAGTGGCTGACTGCATCCCAAATGGCACCCTATTCCCTATGTAGTGTACTACTTTTGATCAGGGCCCAAGCAGTGCACTATATAGGGAATAGGGTGCCATTTGGGACGTGGCTGCTATCTACTAACTCCACGCTCACCCAATTGGTTCAAGATGTGAAGGCAGCCAGGCACCACGTGGCCCATTAATGGTTTCCATCCAAAAGACAGGAGCAGAGTGGAGCCGTATTCCTATAGCTTCAAACACTATGACCTGGGGTGACATTCTTCTGACTGAGCAAAGTTCCATTCCGTACCACTCTGAATTACACGTTGCTTTAATGAATATATATATGATAAAGAAAGACGTCAGTTGCCATCAGAGAGGTTCTGTGCATAATTCTTAGGATTTTATTAGCACATAAGCTCAACTTTTCAAACCAAACCCTACTGCTTATGAAGGTATTGTCTATATAATCAAGGTATAGTACTATATTCATGGATGCGACTTTTAAGTGCCTTCACAGGTGAGTTCACACTCACAGCCTCTGCAGTGCAGTCTCTGGAGGAACCCATGATGAGTCTCTGGCTCCGCTTTTCACGAGAGGCCAAGCTCACTGAAGCCAGCCACAGGCAGGGGCGCTGGGGCCTTCTTCTCCCCCCCCTCGGACTGCTCAGGCTCGGGTCTGGTGAGGCGACTGTGGTTGAGCATGGTGAAGAACTGAAACCTCTCACCCATCTTCTGGGGGTTGGTCAGCATGTCATAGCTCTGGATCAGCTGGGCCTTTATAGACGGGTCTGCACAGTTCCTCAGTAGAACCTGAAGAGAAACCAAACATTGCAATTAGACAACGCTAAATGAGTAAAGAGAGCAAAGTAAAACATTTATCCCAAGTGCTCTTGAAAGCCCCGATCAGCCAGTTGAAAACCATGAGTGTCCACTTAACGTATTGCTTTGAAAGAAACTGATGCAAACTCATAAGTTGGTGTATTCGTCACGAAACCAGGACAAAAAAATACATTTTTTTTGTCCTGGTTTTGTCAGGAATCACCCAAGTATGAAATGCTCACAAGTTTTTTGTGCATATGGAAAATTTCTGGGATCTTTTATTTCAGCTCATGAAACATGGGACCAACACTTTACATGTTGTGTTTATATATTTGTTCAGTATACATTGGTCACCTTAGCCACATGTATAAATAAGTGGAATAATGCAGTGTGAACACAGGGTTCCTTCCCACCTGTAAGCGTGTATCGATGCCCATATTTTTCAGGAAGTCTCTCTGAGAGACAGGGCCCATGCAGGCCACCGTAGCTCCAGCCATCTTCCTCAGGTAACTGAAGTCCACGTCAGCAGTCAGGTCAGCAGAGCCAGGGGAAGCTAGGACATCATGGAGCTTATGATCTTTGAAACCCTGGGGGTGGGGGACAGGAGAGGCATTCTGGTGTTATGACAGAAACAGTAGACAACATGACGCATGACTACAACTGACTGCTACAGTTTGTTATTTGTGCATTGTGACATTTTCATTTGACTTCATTTGTTAGTTGTTAAATATTTCCCTTTTTTTTATTCCAAATCAGGTGCTTCCTTTCATGAGCAACAGCTGATAATATCTTCATGTAGTGACTCGTGACATAAGTGTGAGCCATCCTGAACCATGGATGCTTTGTTCACAGATGGGATTGTGCGGTTCCCTGCCACGTGTCTTTAGAAGGAGGGGGCCGCTTGTTTGAATCTCTCCCCCCCCTTTCATCACACACATTAGTGAGTCCCAGAGCCAGAGAGCCATGCAGGGAGAGCCCACCCCGCTTGATAGGGGCCAGATGGGGCTGGGTTAGGGGGGAGCACGAGGACCAGGACTGGAGGGCAGTTGACCCTGATTTCCGTGTGTCACCAGCAAAGGGCAAGAGAGGCATGCCGGCTTCCTGCGTCGGTTTCCTTGTAGCTGAGGCTTGTTCGGCTAATCACGTTACCATACACACTAAGTCAGAGACACACACAAACAGAGACCGTATTAAAACCTGCTGATAAACGGGCCGTGTAAACGGGCCATGTTGGAGACATGATGGCACTCACTCTGAACGTGTCCGTCTTGGTCCCGCCATGCCCGTAGTCTGCAATCAGTGCCGCGCCCCCGTCCTCTGCGATCCGATTGGCCAGGTGCTGGATGATGATCCCTCCCTCCGGGCAGACCTCCACGAGCCGTCTCACTTCATCTGCCTAGGAGGTGAGGGGGTTTCAGAACAAAAACAAGAGCGGCTCTGCTTACCTCGTCTGTGTGAAGCTCAGGCCAACACACAGAGGCCTGAGCACACATCATCAATCATACATGGCTTCACTTCCAAATCATCTCCACTAAGCAGCACCGGCTCCAAGCCCCTAGGCAACACAGAACCAAAAAGAGGGGCTTGCCTGGGTGGGATCAGAAGCATCCCAAATGGCACCCTATTCTCTATATAGTGCACTACTTTTGACCAGGGCCCGGGGACACACCCTTAGACTATCGGGGAACACGTGTTGAGGGGAAAAAGAGACTCAAGCGGAGTATTAAAACCTTTAGGCTTATCTACTTCTAATAGAAACCCCATTAGACCACAGTGATGAAAGAGCAGAGCAGAGTATGTATGGCTTTTAATTAGCGAGCGCAGAGAGAACAGCGTTAAGGTTAATCAACTCTACTACAATATGTGGAACCTGAGATACACAGGCCTGTAAGGCGGAGCTGCAGCCATTAGTCAGGATTTAAAACCAGTAAGGGGGTTTCACCCAAGCTCACTCATGATGTCAGGTTTTGGCACCCTGTTCAAAGCCCCTGCACTCTTCCAGAGAGACCAGATGAAATAGGTTGGTACTGTATATATTGCATAAACATCGGTAATAAAAGACAGATGCTGGAGAGTCGTCAAACTCTTAAGGAAAAAGGAGTTTGTCGAGCAATTTCAGGGTATTTTTGTCTATGTACAATAAAACAAAGGCTTTAGCAAAGATATTGAACTACTTTTTTTTTTTTTTTTAAGTTAAAGGCCCAATGCAGCCGTTTTTATCTCAATATAAAATAATTTCTGGGTCAAAAAACTAGCTGTTATTGGCAGAGAGGTTTGGAACTCTCTTTTATTGGTCTATTAACTTATACCGCCTAGTGATGTCACCAGGCAAGCCAAAACCACACCCATGCAAAACCTGCTGATTAGACAGTCCAGCGTAAATTGTATTTTCAACCAGCAACTATCAGGAAATAACATTGATCACATTTCTTCACACTTTTACAGTGTCAGTTTCATCAGCTGTTGTACAATATGATACAAAACACAAGAAAAACTGAATAAAAAATGTGATTTTCCTGTGATTTATATACACTGCGTGTTCAAAACATTAAAAACACCTGCTCTTTCCATTACAGAAAGACCAGGTGAAAGCTATGATCCCTTATTGATCTCACTTGTTAAATCCACTTCAAATCAGTGTAGATGAAGGGGAGGAGAAAGGTTACAGAAGGATTTTTAAGCCTTGAGACAATTGAGGCATGGATTGTGAATGTGTGCCATTCAGAGGGTGAATGGGAAAGAACAAATATTGAAGTGCCTTTTAACAGGGTATGGTAGTAGGCACATCGGTTTGTGTCAAGAACTGCAACGCTGCTGTTTTTTTCACGCTCAACATTTTCCTGTGTATCAAGAATGGTCCACCACCCCAAGGACATCCAGCCAACTTGACACAACTGTGGGAAGCATTGGAGTCAACATGGGCCAGCATCAATGTGGAATACTTTCGACACCTTGTACAGTCCATGCCCCTGATGAATTGAGGCTGGTCTGAGGGCAAAAGGGGGGGGGGGGTGCAACTCAATATTAGGAAGGTATTCTTAATGTTTTGTACACTTAGTGTACATTTCCACACTATGAGTTTGGAATAATACTGTGAAATTGATGAGAAGGCACTTTTCGTGTAAGAGCTGTTTGAAAAGACCACCTGAAATTTCAGCCTGTTTTGGTGGGATGGAGTTTTGGCGTGCCTGGTAACATCCCCTCCCCAGTCAGACCACTCCCAGACAGTCCTAGCTTTCTAGCTTGCTTCTTGCTTTAGAAATTGCTGTTTCTTAAGAAGCATTTTGGTTTATTTTTCACCATTTTAATTTAAAAACAATCACAGTAAGGTACTTAATTGTTACCCAGAAATGATTTGATATTGAGTTAAAAACGGCTGCATTGGACCTTAAAGCAACAAAACGCAGCACTCACCTGTATGAGCTGAGTAGAGGCCAGAGTGGGTGCTGGCACTATGACAAACCTCAGCTTGCCTGGCTCATCTGGGTCAATATCCACCATCACCTCCCTCCAGCCCTTCTCTGTTCTCTGTGCCCACATCACAATCAGTGACTGGGCTTCCCAACACAACGGATCAAATGGCACTTACAATTCATGTTTTTCAATTATTTGTGATCTGCTATCAAGATCTATATGTATAATCCAAATAGCTGGTCGAGTAAATTTACCTGGAATTTATGGATGGGTAAGGCATCAAAGAACTCATGAGCAAGGTAGATGCTGAAGCCTGTAAAAAAAAAAAAAAAAAGCCAATCAATAACAAATTCACACCCAGTAAATTCTATTAATTAAAATCTTACCATAGCTAAACTTTAAATTATTAGAGCATACATCATTAGTCTGCAGCCAAGGTTCTATCCTATGTCTACCTCTGGGGACGTAATTCAACATGAGATTAATTAAACTAAGATTAACTACAATTATCTAATTTAGAACTATAGATTATTACCTCTGGGGACGTCATCCAGGTTGCGGTACCAGGAGATGGGGAGGCCTGTGGTGGTGGTCCCCTGGCGGTACACAGGCTCATCCTCTCTGGCCGACACCTGGCTCTGGTCCCTCGTCAGAGCCTGGGCCTGGACCTGGCTCAGTTTAGAACTCACCTCCACCAGGTGCACTGAGACTGCAGTCCCACCCAGGGCCCCACGCAGCTGACTGAAGACCTGGACAACACAAGCAGACAGACAGACAGTGGATGGCTTAGCAGTTTAGCTTATTAGTTCGATGGATTATATGTGGAAATTGCTCCCTCCACTGGTCATATATTGAACTCACATGAATACTGTCTGTATACAAAGCATTTGTAGTAGGACATAGCAGCACTAGGCATACATACTCTGAGAATGTCATTGGCCAAGGAGCCTCTTCCTGGTCCAAACTCCACTAACTGGAAGTGACTGGGCTTCCCTGCTCCCATCCACTCGCTTAAACACCAGATCCCCAGCAGCTACAGGCAGAGAAAGGATAAGCTGAAACCATCATCATCACTCAGGGCATTGGTATGGAACATCAAGAAACTAGAACATCAAAAGACTGTTGATCAAGCATGTATATGCATACATCTACGACACAGCAATACATACATGTATTGATTAATATTAATTGAAATGTGGTTCTAATGAAAATGCTTACCTCCCCAAAGATCTGACTAATTTCTGGCGATGTGATGAAATCTCCATCTGGCCCAAGCATATCATTCTGCACATAATAGCCCTGAAAAATAAACAGACCACTTAATCTCTGAAACAAAAATGTCTTTAAAGAATAGTGGCATTGTCTGACTGGTTTCTTTACTGTAGTGTGTGTGTGTGTGTGTGTGTGTGTGTGTGTGTGTGTGTGTGTGTGTGTGTGTGTGTGTGTGTGTGTGTGTGTGTGATTTGATCAGGTGGTAGTTACCTACCGTGACTGGGTTAGTGAGAACCTCTCTCATGTACTCTGCCACTGAGATAGGACCTGTAGCTTTGATCTTGGAGGTTAGGTGTCTGAGCATTGAGTTTCTTGGCATTGGTTTCTCTGCTGAGCTCCTGGAGCAACTCCTGATCTGTGCCATGCTCCATGATCTAACTATAAAGAAGAAGTTAACATTAGAGCACATTAGATACAGCTTTCTGATAGAAACTAGACATAGACTGAAATGACTAACGTTATGGATACAACTCCAATGTTGACAATAATATTGACAACATGAGAGATATCCATAACTAGTAAGGTTGAAATAGAAAAATTGCTCTTACCAGATGATGGTGGTGGACAAGGGCAGACAAGGACTCTGCTAAACCTCTGCAGTGCTCCAACTGTCCTCATTGAGACAGTTATCTAGCTAGCTACAACACTCAGACAATGTTCCACTGTAACAGTAGGCTACTTTCCCAGAAATTGACATCAAGCCTGACTGCACAGTAGCATGAGAGAGACAATTGAAAGCACAACCGCGGGGGATCAGCTATCTGCGTTTCATAGGCCTACATGCAATATCTTGTCAAACTTCAGTCCATCTTTACATGACACACTTTGGCAGAAGATAAATGAATTCCTCAGACTCCACGAATGGAGCCAGCTAGCTAGCTAGCTAGCAGATTCCAAAATGTGTGGTGCGAGTGCAAGTACATCCGCTTTCCAACGCCAACAACACTTCTGATTGGACAATATTGGTTGAGTTTGTTTTGCATGGCTCGGTGCCTCGGGTGAATGGAGAGTTCACTTAGGATAAATGGAATGGTTTAGAATGTGCAAACCTCGCTTAACCGGGGCACCGAGCCATGTAAAACGAACTCCCCATTCTTTGCCTAGTCAGTAACAAAACTTTTGATTGGATCAAATTGACTTGTGAACTTTGAACTTTAGTTCAACCAGTCCTGTTTGATACATACAAATCAGAAATACAATCCAGAAAATCCTATACGCTACTAATCATGTCGTTTTGGATTTTAAAAAAATAGTAATACATTCATCTTGTTCTGAAATTAAACTGGATATGAAGATCACAAATAATTGCTTTCAACGATAGTAAGGCAGTTACCGTACACACTTTCCTTCCAGGTCCTGTCGTTTTTCTACATGCTGCTTTCAGCATGGCACCGAAAGGAAAGAACAGTAAGGCAATAGCCAAAACACATTTTGTAAATGTAAAGGACGAGTTTGAAAATGACAACGATGGAGATGAGGAAGAAGAAAGTAATGGAGATGGTCCTCAACCGGACGACGAATTTAATTTGGACGAGGTTTTACGTTTGGGTGGAACCCGAGTAAGTAACGTTGAGGCTAGCACTGCAGGCTAACTAGCAAATGTATCCTGCTGCTAGCACTACCACAACTGCGACATATATGTAAACACGTGGCTTTCTCCCAAAATGTTGAATAAACTGTTTCAGTTGTTCAACTGTTAATACTATTTATATTTGATCGACCTTCATGTGCTTTATCTGGCACTGTCGGTAGATATTGATGATGATGCTAGGTAGCTACTGTAGCTAGCTAACGTTAGTTGCCTGGAAACCCGACGATGAATTGCATTGAATTCTACGTCGTGCAAAAATGAGTGTTTGGATCAGGAAAGTTTCCTCTCACGACCTCTACAAGCCAGTATGTTGAATAAAATTACATTTAAACATACTCTACTGGTTGTTACCGCTGTTGGTCCTTTTGCCGATGGGAATTCAAGACAATATATCCACAGGAAAGTATAATTAAATCACCTTATCAAAGCGCTCATAGTGCGTTCAGATTTCTATCACCTGAAGCATGCACAGAACCATGTAAACATGTGCACAAGCTCGGCACCTATACATGTTTGGCCTGCATGTATTTTCATCTTGTGGGCATGCTTCAGGTGATAAAAATCTGAACACATAACCAGCGCTGTGAAAATTTGATTTAATTGTAACTTTCCTGTGGATATATTGTATCACATTCCTACCTACAAAAGGACCAACTGCATGGACAACCGGTAAACTAAGTTAAAATATAATTGTATTCAACATTCTGGCTTGTAGAGGTCTGTGAGATTCAAACGCTAATTTCTGCTCTATGTAGAATTCAATGCAATTCAACATTGGGTTTCCAGGCAAGGTACTACAATATAGCTAACGTTAGCTGCTTGCAAGTGGTTGTACTTGGCTTGCAAGTGGTTGTACACAGACAAGTCATGACTGTAAAATCACCTGTTTTCTCATGGCTTTTTACTTGTCCCGGTGTAGGCTGACTTTGCCCTGCTTGCCACCATCATTGATGAGAACGACCTGATCGACGGTGGAAAGAAAGGAGCCATAGATGACCTGGAACCTGGCGAGTTGGAGACGTTCATCACCAAGCTGGGCATCCGCTCATACAAAGAACAACAGATTGTTCCAGACGAACCTACAGAGGAAGAGAAGGCAGAGGCCAGCCAAAAGGAGAGAAAAAAGGCTGATGCCAAGAAAGCCAAGTCAGATGCTCAGAAGCCCAAGCCAGAGCCTAAAGGCAAGGACCTGCCTGCCACATCTACAGTGGAGACGAAGAATAAGAAAAATAAAGAGACAGCAAAAACCAGCATCCCAGCCACTGGAAAGAAAGCTAAACTAAATGCCAACATATTTGAGTTTCTGCCGAGGCAGCTGCTGCTGATCAAACCAGGTGGCAAGTGGTTTGACATGGAGTACACCGCAGAGGGTACCTCTAACCCACAGGATGAGTCTCATGTCTCCCAGTACAAGGCCCTGGCTATCAAGCTGTTTGAGGCTGAGACTGGGCTCTACAAGAGCAAGAAGAACATGCAGAAGGGGGCCAACTCCGCCTGGATGAAAAATGTGGTCTCCGCAGGGACGCTGGCTGACAGGATGGCAGCCATGACAGTTCTGATCCAGGACGCCCCGGTACAGAGCATAGAGCATGTGGAGAACCTTGTCTCCATGGTGAAGAAGAAGGGCAGTCGCAGACAGGGCCTGATGGCTCTGGACACTCTCCGAGAACTCTTCATGTCCGACCTGCTGCCAGTGAACCGCAAGCTCAGGACCTTTGCCCAGCATCCCTTTGACAAGCTGGAGCAGAAGGCGAGCGGAAACAAGGACGCGCGCGATCGCCGCCTCATCCTGTGGTACTTTGAGCACCTTCTGAAGCACCATGTAGCCGAGTTTGTGGTGGCCCTGGACGACCTCGCCCACGACACGGTGGCAGCCACCAAGGCCAAATCTCTGGCCACTGCCCACGAGCTGCTGATCAACCGGCCCGAGCAGGAGAGGGCCCTTCTCATCCAGGTGGTCAACAAGCTGGGAGACCCTGAGTACAAGACGGCAGCCAAGGCCTCCTACCTGCTGGAGACCCTGCTGCACAAGCACCCCAACATGAAGGCGGTGGTGTGCAGCGAGGTGGAGCGCCTCATGTTCAGGCCCAACATCAACCTGAAGGCCCAGTACTACGCCGTGTGCTTTCTCAACCAGGTGCTGCTGAGCCACGACGAGGCCGAGCTGGCCAGCAAGCTCATCTCCATCTACTTCTCCTTCTTCCGAGCCTGCATCAAGAAGAAGGATGTGGAGTCCAAGATGCTGAGCGCCCTGCTGTCGGGCGTGAACAGGGCCTATCCCTATGCCAAGGCCGGGGACGAGAAGGTGAAGGAGCAGTTAGACACGCTGTTTAAAGTAGTGCACCTGGCCAAGTTCAACACGGCCGTCCAGGCTCTCATGCTGCTCTTCCAGGTGATGGACTCTCAGCAGATCATCTCAGACCGCTACTATGTGGCTCTCTACAGGTAAACTGCACTTCTAGACTTGTTGGTGTGATCAAGTAGAATGGCTGTATGTTGTATCAAATCCTGTCCAAAAAACGTTGACATGTGTATTTGGTTGCTCTCTGTTTCTTAATAGTTGTCTAATTTATGCTAACTTGATAGTATTTAGTCATGGGATCTCATTTAGCACTTTCTTAGTCAATGTTATAGTAACCATGCCTTTGACTATACTGAACAAAAATATAAATGCAACATGCAACAATTTCAACGATTTTACTGAGTTACAGTTCATATAAGGAAATCAGTCAATTTAAATAAATGTATTAGGCCCTAATCTATGGATTCACATGCCTGGGCAGGGGCGCAGCCATGGATGGGCCTGGGAGGGCATAGGCCCACAGCCAATCAGAAATAGTTTTTCCCCACAAAAGGGCTTTATTGCAGACAGAAATACTCATCAGTTTCATCAGCTGTCCGGGTGGCTGGTCTCAGACGATCCCGCAGGTGAAGAAGCCGGATGTGGAGGTCCTGGGCTGGTGTGGTTACACGTGGTCTGCATTTGTGAGGCCGGTTGGATGTACTGCCAAGTTCTCTAAAACAACGTTCTAGGCGGCTTATGGTAGAGAAATTAACATTGAATTCTTTGGCAACAGCGCTGGTGGACATTCCTGCAGTCAGCATGTCAATTGCATGCTCCCTCGAGACTTGAGACATCTGTGGCATTGTGTTGGGACAAAACTGCACACCAGTGGCTTTTTGTTGTCCCTAGCACAAGGTGCACCTTTGTAATGATCATGCTGTTTAATCAGCTGCTTGATATGCCACACCTGTCAGGTGGATGGATTATCTTGGCAAAGGAGAAATGCTCACTAACAGGGATGTAAACACATTTTTGCACAAAATCTGAGAAAAATAAGCTTTTCTGTGCGTATGGAACATTTCTGGGATCTTTTATTTTACATTTGATATTTGAGTCATTTAGGAGACACTCTTATCCAGAGCGACTTACAGTAGTGAGTGCTTGCAATTTTGTTATTTTTCGTACTGGTCCCCTATGGGAATCAAACCCACAACCCTGGCGTTGCAAGCCCCATGCTCTACCAACTCAGCTCATGAAACATGGGACCAACACTTTACATGTTGCGTTAATATTTTTGTTTAGTATACAATGATGTTGAATTGATGCATCTATGTTTTCTGGTTTACAGGAAGCTCATGGACCCAGGTCTGTCTCTGTGCTCCAGACAGAGTATGTTCCTCAACCTGCTGTATAAGTCTCTGAAGGCAGACATCGTCCTGCGGCGGGTCAAAGGCTTTGTGAAGAGGCTGCTGCAGGTCAGCTGTGAGCAGAACCCTACCTTCGCCTGCGGGGCTCTCTTCCTGGTGTCAGAGGTCATGAAGGCCAAACCAGGCCTCAAGATGCTGCTGCAGGAGGGTGGGGTAAGGCCAAGCTCAATGACATCGGCATAAAGTACTAGTTATTTTCATATTGTGCACAATCACATAATGGAACTCTTGGGGAATGTTTCCCAGGCACAGTTTAAGACTAGTCCAGGACTAGACTTAATCTATATCTGGGGAAACCAGCCATTAGATTAATTTATACTAATGATTTTGTCATCATGTCACTTGATCTCACATATTATGATATGATTGCAGGATGGTGAAGAGGAGAATTTCAAAGATCTTAAGGAAGAAGAGGATGATGAGGAGAGGTTTGTAGATGCGGATAAGGTGGAGGAAGGACAGCGTGAGATCAAACCTGAACATCCCAAGCCCACTGCATCGTCGTGGGTACATCACCAAAACATTGAAGGTGAGTTTTATTATTAAGACCACCTTCTTAACATTATTTTCAATTCACATATTTGGGGAAATCCTACAGCCAGATACTTATAAATGCATTGACATATTTGTATTGTAATTACTGTAGACATTTTTGTTGTAATGTAAGTATAGCTATGTTTTGATTGTTACTCCTGCATATTCAGTAGTCACCTTTCCCCCTCTTCATGCATACTCGTTCTTCTGTTGTCCAGGTGGGAAGAGTATGGAGACATACGACCCGTTACACAGAAACCCACTATTCTGTGGGGCTGACCACACCACCTTATGGGAGCTGCAAAGGGTGAGCCTCATGACAATATTGGGTGCCTCCCAAATGGCACCCTTTTCCCTATATAGTGCACTACTTTTGACCACGGCCCGTATTGCACTAGATAATAGGGTGCCATTTGGGACGCAGCCATTGTGTGATGAGATAAAGATGTGTTATGGGCTTGCTTGAGAAAAGGTACTGTACTATAGGATAATCCACTTATGTTGTTCTTTTACGTCATGTCTTTCCTCAGCTCTCTGCACATTTCCACCCATCGGTGTCACTGTTTGCCAAGACAATCCTACATGTAAGATTAACTGTTTTTTTGTTTATTTGCATGGGGAAACTGTGCTTATTACCAAAAAAATCATACAAAGAAGTTGCCTGTATAACAATGGGCCCGGGTGGGTATCAGGGCTATCCTTAATACTACTACTTGAGTTTTTCTGCGTTAATTCATCCCTTTCCCTCTGCATCATGTCCTCAGGGAGAGTTCATCAACTACACAGGAGACCCTCTCCAGGACTTCACTCTCAGCAAGTTCTTGGATCGCTTCGTCTTCAGGAATCCCAAACAACTGAAGGGCAAACGTAATATTTTCAAATGCCTTTTTCTCTCAGTACACCAGAAATGTACTTCATTGCCGATTCACATTATTAATCAACTGTCTGGTCTCGGTTCATTCCCCAAATCAGTTATTCACACTGCCTTTTGGTCTTGGTTGAAACTGTTTTCATCTCAATCATTCACAGAAAACACAGACACTACAGTTATGAAGCCCAAACAGAAGCTGGCCATGAATAACATCCACAATTTACCTGGTGAGTGTGTCTTTTGAATCACTATGAAGAATGATAAAGGGGTCCCTTTATTGAGCAGAAGTAAGGAAATTCACCTTTTCTCCCATCTCTCAGTGAACTGTGAAGAGTTCCTGTCCAATGAGGAGAGTCAGATTCCTGTGGATGAGGTCTTCTTCTATCGGTGAGTAAGAATGATTATATAGACATACCTTTAGAGTAACACTATCAGATTTTAAAATATGAATAAGGCAGCAAAGAAAATTCTGTTAATGGTCTATTGTTTGAGTGATTCAAGTTCTGGACTGTCTTTAAATACCCTATTTTGCCCTGTTTCCCATGCTAGGTTCTTCAAGAAACGGGAAGCGGAGAAGGCGCTGCGTCGGCCACGAGGAGATGGAGATAACGAGAGTGTGGAGGACGTGGACGATGATGAGTTTGAGAAGCTGCTCGGTAAGTTCAAGGACTCTGAAATGAACTGTTATTGGTCAAAATTCAGGAAATAGGTCAATGTATATCAGACTTCAGGCTCATCTTTGGTTGCCTTCTCGCCCTATCCAGATTCATACGAGGGAGACAGTTACTTCACTGACTTGCCAGTTGATGCAACAGACCTGGACTTTGCAGGGTAAGTTTGATAAAGCTTTTCATTCAGATATCATCAGTGATTCACCTATCAAATATGGCATTGAAATTATTCGGTTTTCTATACTATACTAACATTTTGTGTCTCTGCATGTTGCAGCAATGTTAAGACCAAATCTAAGAAGGGGAAGAAGGCTGGAGAGGATGACTCCGAGTCAGATCTGGATGATGACTTGGATGGTGATCTGGATGATGAGGAGGTGTCCCTTGGCAGTATGGACGAGGAGGACTTTGGAGATGAACTGGAGGAGGAGGGAGGGGCCTTCATGGACCCTGCTGGGGAGGATGATGATGAGGAAGGTATGTGATGTCCCAATTATCTCTCCTTCTTCCCAAAGTGTGCACTTGTTCACTTCCCTTCACTAGTTTGAAATGAAATTACTGGTTTATGAAATATGGTGGAAACTCCCACAAGCCCATGCATCCACAAGTGCAGACTTGACTCTAATTTCTTGTCTCTTTCAGTTCCAGAACTTGATGATGGTGATATTGCTTTTGGTGGTAAGAAAAGGGCATAATTGTGAATGTTAATTAATGTATATTATATTGTTTTCACTTCAAGATTTAGATGATGAGATGGAGGTTCCAAACATCACTCCAGGTTCCAAAAAGAGCAAGGGCAAGAGGAAGGCATCAGAGGATCTTGACTTCAGTGGGTCTTTAGGTTAGTAGCTGGGCCTCTATTTGTACTATTGAACTCCTGAATCTCATTTAGGAGTGTAGAATCGTATCTGACATGTTGAAATTCTTCCATTGTAGGTTCCAAACCAGGGAAGAAAAATAAAGGAAAGAAGGACACAGCCATGTTTGCATCTGCTGAAGAGGTGAGATGGTCATGCCTACCATATTTCTCACAACTCGCAATGTTAAGTTGGCGTGCGATGGCTATCCTATTATGGCTATGCTATCCATCAGTTTGTTGAAGAGTTAGTTTCTTGTATGAAAATAAAGGATATCATCATTGTAAATCCTAATTTTATTTTTATTTTTTATTTACAAGTTTGGATTTATGTTGGATGAAAATGCTGGCTCTAAGTTTGACAACATCGGCATGAATGCTATGGCCAACAAAGACAAAGCAGGTAAGCCTTTGCTTAAATACAGTCGATCAACCTATTAAACATGTCCATGTCTTATTGAATACTACAGTTAGTGCCAACTGATAGAAAAAAAGACAAAGACAAATCGTGTAAATGACTTTACTCAGTTGGCTAGATACTAGCTAAAAACCACAGCATATCCCCATGGAGAGAGTCAGTAACTTCACAGCAGTTTGGAGCACACCCAGTCATACTCCGTAGTATTCCTGTCAAAATAGATAGTCTCTCAAGCATGATGGAGCTAACTGTTAACCAACCCTAAGCCAATAACAACTGAATTCCGTCCATGTCAGGGCACATTTCATATGAAACAGGTTGTTGAATACAGTTGATGACCAAACTTCAGTAGAGGATGCAGAGTAAGTCTGTGGTTTCTGCTCATTGCCCCCAGGTGTCAGGCAGCTCAAGTGGGAGGCCCAGAGAGACGATTGGGTCCGAGGCAGAGATGTCAAGACCCTACGGAAGAAGAAGGCCATGTTTAACAAGAAGAAACAGTTTGGCAAGCCACAGTTTGGCAAACCAAGGGCTGTCAAAAAGACTTTCAAGAAGTAGTAATCATTTCTGGACTTTTCTGGACCTAAGATTACTTATGTTTGTGTTCACACACACCTCTCTACGCCTTCTTGGAACAATATTCAAGGTCTTGCTCTCGAATCTCATAAACCCTGGCATATTCGCTGGAGAGACAAAGTGATAGTGTGTTAGGCTGAGTTCACACAGGCAGCCTAATTCAGATTTTTTTCTCTCACTAATTGATCTGTGATTGGTCAAAAGACAAATTAGTGTCGGGTGGAATCTGAATTAGGCTGCCTGTGTGAACGCAGCCTAACGCCATCATTTTGTCTCCAACGAATATGCCAGGGTTTATGGGATTCGAGAGCAAGTGGGTGACATGCCAGGGGTGTGTTCATTGGTGCAAACTGTATTGCCTTTATCTATACCTGTTGACAGTTCCTGGTTTGTACTACCAATCATTGGAGAAACTACTTCATGCCTGTGTGAAATCAAGTAGGCTGCGTTTACACAGGCAGCCCAATTCTGATTATTTATCCACTAATTGGATTATTGACCAATCAGATCAGCTCTTATGCCCATTGGGCTGCCTGTGTAAACACAGCCATATTCTCTGTATTGCCATTTCATATCGGTTCTGTATTTTGTATAGCTTAGCATACTAAGAGATGTCTGGTCTGTAGTAATTGTAACTGAAGATACATCTATTTGTATTATTTGGTGCCAATTTTATTGCTTTGCAGTTTGGAATTGGATCGATTCATCAAGTTTGTATGTTTTGAACTGTCTACAGCCCGTACCTTCCAGAACAAAGGGAAGCATGTTGTTCATACTGTTTCTGAAATAAATAAACACATTAAAACATTGTGTTACAAAGCAAATGTGTACATAGCCAAAGATAGTCAGTGTACATGGCAAATGTCTTTTCTATATAAAAGGTAAATGGTACCCCACCTTGACTTGTGTTGATCTTGTAAAAAAGACCATAAGCACACCTGCCACATTTGAGTCTCTTTGCTAACAGTGCCAATGATTTGGGGGCCATCTAGGAAAGACAGGCTTTGTAAGGTTCTGTCGCAATGCATTCAATCAGAGAGGAAGAGAGGCCCAACTCGGCGGAAAATCTATCTCCCTCCAGCAGTTGGCGTTGTTTCGCCCACCAAGCAAGGAGTTTTTGTACGGAGGTCAATGAGTGTCGAATTTGGTCAACAACAAAAAATGTATGGCTTGTTTGCTGCATGAGGTTTATTTGATCGAATATAAGTTTAGTAACGCTTAAGTTTTTACAAGTGTACTAATATAAGTAGGACACGTGACATCCCGGCAACTTAGAGAAAAAACACTCGGAGTTGTCTCGAGAAGGCAATGCATATTCATGACATGAGGCTAGTCGCGTCTCTCCATTGAATACAGGCGGTTGACGTCGACAACCCTAATCGAATTTTGAAAAACAGATGACAATAACGAGCTCTATCCACCAATCCAAAGAAAGGATAGGCGGGAGCTAGACAGCCCGCTGTGCCGCTTTTTGGACAACTCCCATTGTTAGGGCGGAGAGACATGTATCTTGTTAGTATATCCATGATCTAAATTAATGAAAGCAAAAATGTGCTTTTTGGTCTTAATTTAAGGTTAGAGTTAGGTACAAGGTTAGGAGTGTGGTTAAGGTTAGGGTGAAGATTTGAAATCACATTTTAAGAAGATAAATTGTAGAAATGGGCGGGGTGTATGACTTTGTGGCTGTGGTAACCAGTGACGACCGACATACAGGGGCGTGTGAAAAGCATTTCTCCTTACACTGCTCCCTGCTACTGCGAGGACTCACCAGAAGGGTTCACTGTACTCAAGATAAAAACAGGCAGGGCATGATAAATCCATTTCATTTGGTTATAAAAAATTACAGGAATGATTGGGGGGAGGAAGGGAGGAATTCAATTACTGAAGTAATGTATTTAGTCTATTCCATTTACATTACATTTACATTTACGTCATTTAGCAGACGCTCTTAGCGACTTACAAATAATTCCCATATCACCATAGGATCATCAGTCTGTCTGCACACCTGTGCTTATCTGCCTCCTCAGAGCAAAGATGTCCTAGTAGGGCATTTCCAAGTAGGCTACAGTGAGGGAAAAAAGTATTTGATCCCCTGCTGATTTTGTACGTTTGCCCACTGACAAAGAAATGATCAGTCTATAATTTTAATGGTAGGTTTATTTGAACAGTGAGAGACAGAATAACAACAAAACAATCCAGAAAAACGCATGTCAAAAATGTTATTAATTGATTTGCATTTTAATGAGGGAAATAAGTATTTGACCCCCTCTCAATCAGAAAGATTTCTGGCTCCCAGGTGTCTTTTATAGAGGTAACGAGCTGAGATTAGGAGCACACTCTTAAAGGGAGTGCTCCTAATCTCAGCTTGTTACCTGTATAAAAGACACCTGTCCACAGAAGCAATCAATCAGATTCCAAACTCTCCACCATGGCCAAGACCAAAGAGCTCTCCAAGGATGTCAGGGACAAGATTGTAGACCTACACAAGGCTGGAATGGGCTACAAGACCATCGGCAAGCAGCTTGGTGAGAAGGTGACAACAGTTGGTGCGATTATTTGCAAATGGAAGAAACACAAAAGAACTGTAAATCTTCCTCGGCCTGGGGCTCCATGCAAGATCTCACCTCGTGGAGTTGCAATAATCATGAGAACGGGGAGGAATCAGCCCAGAACTACACGGGAGGATCTTGTCAATGATCTCAAGGCAGCTGGGACCATAGTCACCAAGAAAACAATTGGTAACACACTATGCCGTGAAGGACTGAAATCCTGCAGCGCCCGCAAGGTCCCCCTGCTCAAGAAAGCACATATACAGGCCCGTCTGAAGTTTGCCAATGAACATCTGAATGATTCAGAGGAGAACTGGGTGAAAGTGTTGTGGTCAGATGAGACCAAAATCGAGCTCTTTGGCATCAACTCAACTCGCCGTGTTTGGAGGAGGAGGAATGCTGCCTATGACCCCAAGAACACCATCCCCACCGTCAAACATGGAGGTGGAAACATTGTGCTTTGGGGGTTTTTCTGCGGGACGATGGACGGGGCCATGTACTGTCAAATCTTGGGTGAGAACCTCCTTCCCTCAGCCAGGGCATTGAAAATGGGTCGTGGATGGGTATTCCAGCATGACAATGACCCAAAACACACGGCCAAGGCAACAAAGGAGTGGCTCAAGAAGAAGCACATGAAGGTCCTGGAGTGGCCTAGCCAGTCTCCAGACCTTAATCCCATAGAAAATCTGTGGAGGGAGCTGAAGGTTCGAGTTGCCAAACGTCAGGCTCGAAACCTTAATGACTTGGAGAAGATCTGCAAAGAGGAGTGGGACAAAATCCCTCCTGAGATGTGTGCAAACCTGGTGGCCAACTACAAGAAACGTTTGACCTCTGTGATTGCCAACAAGGGTTTTGCCACCAAGTACTAAGTCATGTTTTGCAGAGGGGTCAAATAATTATTTTCCTCATTAAAATGCAAATCAATTTATAACATTTTTGACATGCGTTTTTCAGGATTTTTTTGTTGTTATTCTGTCTCTCACTGTTCAAATAAACCTACCATTAAAATTATAGACTGATCATGTCTTTGTCAGTGGGCAAACATACAAAATCAGCAGGGGATCAAATACTTTTTCCCCCTTTTCCACTGTATATTTCTAAGGAGGAGAGAGGATCTTATTTTCACCGCAGATCTCCATTTCACCAAGAAGGTGAGAGCCCACACCTAAGCAGCTGTGCTCACAGATAGATTAACCTCTATGCTTTAAAAAAAGGAATGCATTATGACTGTTTAGTATTATGTACTATTATGTGAAATGTTTATAAGGGGATCTACACTCCCCTCCATATGAATTTGGACAGTGAAGCTAAAATATTTAATTTGGCTCTATACTCCAGCATTTTAGATTTCAGATATAATGTTTCATATTGGGTGACAGTACAGAATGACAGCTTTTATTTGAGGGTATTTTCATACATACTGTATCTGTTTTATCATTTAGAAATGAAGGTATTTTATGTATCTAGTCCCCCCATTTGAAGAAGTCATAAGTATTTGGACAAATGTATTAAAGTAGTGAAGGAATTTGTCCCACATTCCTTGTACGTGATGACTACATCAAACGTTTGACTCTACAAACGTTTTGGATGCATTTGCAGTTTGTTTTGGTTGTGTTTTGGATTATGTTTTGACCAATAGGAACTGAAGGGTGAAATAATGTCTTGTGCCATTTTGGAGTCACTTTTATTGTAAGTAAGAATAGAAGATTTGTTTCTGAACACTTCTACATTCATGTGAATGCTACCATGATTCTGGATAATCACTTATGATGAGTGAGAAGGTTGCAGAGGCACAAAGATCATACCCCCCCCCCCCCCCAAAAAAAAATGCATGCTTTGTTGTAGCCTCTGAACGGCATCTCACTCATCATTATTCGGGTTGTTCCATGAAATGACTCCCTTTTGGGTAGTGTAACTTCGTAAAAAAACAACATTTTATTTCACCTAATTTTAACATTCTGTCATGAAGAGCACATGTTGAACTTAATAAAAAACATGATTTCCCATCTCAAGGGATACCGGTACCCCCTGTATATAGCCTCGTAATTGTTATTTTATTGTATTACTTTTTAGAATTTTTTACTTTTGTTTATTTGGTAAATATTCATTTCACGGTAAGGTCTACAACAGGTGTAGGTAGACCTTACCGTGAAATGCTTACTTACAAGCCCTTAGCCAACAATGCAGTTTTAAGAAAAATAAGTGGTAAGTAAAAATAGATAAGTAAAAAATAAAAATAAAAAATAATTAAAGAGCAGCAGTAAAATAAAATAAGAACAGGGAGGTTATATACAGGGGGTACCGGTACAGAGTTAATGTGCGGGGGCACCGGTTAGTCGAGGTAATTGAGGTAATATGTACATGTGGGTAGAGTTAAAGTGACTATGCATAGATAATAAACAGAGTAGCAGCAGCGTAAAAGAGGGGGTGGGGTGGGGAGACAATGCAAATAGTCCGGTAGCCATGATTAGCTGTTCAGGATTCTTATGGCTTGGGGGTAGAAGCTGTTAAGAAGCCTTTTGGACCTAGACTTGGCCCTCCGGTACCGCTTGCCGTGCGGTAG